AGCATAATATAAAATTAGGCAAATAATTTCAAGATTGCAGTGCACTAATACAGTTTAATTTAGATGTCGGCGAACATCGACAAGAAAATTAAAACTTCAATATTTTCCCAGATATAATAATTCAAAAATTTTGCACAAATAAGTCTGACCCAATAAATTCCACAGCCCACAGTTAATAAATTTAGTTTCACAGTTTTCAGCAATAAATTCCACAGTTAGGCTATAAATTTTGTCTTAGAATAAAACTTTATCAAACTTATAGTTACAATACCCACTTCTTAACGTTTGGAGATTTGATTGAGCTTCTCTGAACGCAAGGCACGTGCGCTGGGTCGGGTGGTGGGAGAAGTTCCGTTGATGTGCGCACCTCGCGGCAGTTCAGCGGTGAATGAGGGCGAGCGTTTCTCCTAAGCTCTTTTATAGGCGAGTCCGGCCGCCCCTGCTCTGAAAGCTCAGAGCTATTTTCATACCCTCATATAATAGCGTCTTTAATGAAAGCTTTTGTTTGATGCATAAATGTGTGATTGATAAATCAGAGTGAGAGAGTGTTGAAGCACTGAAGAAGTGCAATGTTTCTTCGATTATTGTCGATATAATTATGAATAAAAAGCTTATGAAAGATTATAAGAAACGCCAAGGAGTTGATTAAATGAGGCGAATGACCAACAAGCATTATTAAATAAAATTGATGTTTGAGTTATTTTCTTCTATTTAATGCCGCATTCATTTTGCGTTAGTTTGATTTTAGACATTAGTGAATCTATATTCTTACATATATACAGTATATACATATTCAAGCTAATATCTTCTGCATGGTATATAGTTCTTAAATCAACTCCAATGATACTTCTTTTAACTAGAGTCAATTTTATGACTGAGTTATTTAAATCCGTTTATACAAAACTCAAATAGAATTCCTAATTCAATAATTTAATATCGTTAAAATTGTACAACAAAAACTTGTACGTACAAAAAGAAAAACAATAATAAAAATCTAAAAATTTGAAATATGCAGTTACTTAACTTATTTTTCCAAATTAATTTACAACAAATCGAGCTTTATTTCATCGTAAAGGCTTCGCACAAATCCTGAAGTGCGGACCGCTTCTGGATGCTCCACTTTTTTTGGGTCTCCCCTACGGGACGAGATCGAAGTGTGCACACATCAAAGGTAAGGAATGCTGCCACAAAACGCTGCTATTGCAGCACACCTGCGTGCACGTGAATTATATTCATAATTAGCTGGTAAGTCCGTCGTGGTAGGGATAGTCACTTCCAGGTAATATATCGATAAGTATCGTTGATACTCGACCATAGCCTTTATTTAAATGTGGGAACAGGCTTCAAAAACACACATAAACTCTGAAAAATAAGAATAAGGTGCGAATAAATCATTTTAGTCATCAATACCCAGTAAAGTCTTATGCACAATACATATATTTCTCGCATTCAATTTCGATTGATGACAAGTAATTACTAATGTTATTGAGTTTTAAAATAATGTCATAGTAGTTTGATTGTTTGTTAATATGTTAGTTTTACCTTCAGTAACAATTTAACGGGTAATAGTTTGGTGATAACAAGATTCCGTGAAATTTTGAAGAGTCTAACAGAAACAAAAATGAAATGAATTTAATACTAAAGCCAGCGAAAAACTTGAAAAACTATTCTAAAATGAGAAATAGGCCTAAATTATCGTGTTACCACGGTGCAAGTATCTATTACCATTCAATTACCAGGAATCATTAAGTAAGCTATATAGGCAAGACAAAGACACTGTCAACCTTCAGCGAAATGTCAGCATCAGGTCTAAATTACCGCTCCGAAATTGAGTTCATCGTCTAAACTTGACCCTGACTCAACAGATATTTTCCGTATCATTATCTCCCTGGAGTCAGGTTACTGTGCTGTCTGTTGCTGACCGAATGATTAATGGGATATTAATTGTGCAGAGATGAGGGATGTAGTGGAGGGATGAGGGATGTAGTGGAGGGATGAGGGATGTAGTGGAGGGATGAGGGATGTAGTGGAGGGATGAGGGATGCAAAAGCTGGATGAGGGACGTTATAGGGAGTGATGGACGTCTTAGAGGGATGTGGGACGCCATTACGGGATGTGGGACGTAAGGGAGGGATGTAGGACGCTTAGGAGGTATGATAGGGGACACAATGGAGGGATGAGGGATGTAATAAGTAGATATGGGACGCATGGAGGAATAAGGGGTGCAATGGAGAACTAAAGGACTTGATAAAAAATGGGCCGCAATGGAGGGATATAGGACGCTAAAAAGGGATGAGGAATTTATTGAACAACAGCCTGCTTTGCCGTACCGTATCTGTAGGTATGCTGCGTGATTCGTAGTTCAAGTGTAGACAACACGATTAATGATTACGAACAAGAGAAGGGAATAAATTGTGAATGAATTATAAAGTATCAAATAGTGGAAACCGTGAATGTGATACTTTTTTAGAGTTCAATTACGGCTCAAAGAATGGAGACGAAATACGTAAATAAAGTCGAAAAATAAATTAGGTTTTGAGAAGGAAAACTATATTGATAATTAAGCAACTATTTGGCACCCAGGTAATAGAATGTAATGAATATGTGATGATGAATAATTCTTGAGAGTATTCTTTGGGATCGTTATTATTTTTAACCCTTACCAGAGAGTTATTTAAGCTCATGGGCATTAAGCTGCCCTGGAGCGTCCCCAACCAATGTAGCTAAAACGTTATTAGTTAAAGAAGTAAAATAAGGAAAAAACTAACCCATCACGATGTTGGCTGAGTCATTATTATTATTATTATTATTATTAATATTATAATTATTATTATTATTGTTTTTATTATTATTATTATTATTATTATTATTATTATTATTATTATACATTGAAACTAACTGTAATAATTAATTGCACACATCGAACGGATGTGAGACTCAACCTGTGATTCAATTTTGCACTGAAGCCTACAGTTTTCCTCCCCTCCCCTCGTGAGGGGCCCTGGTCTTCACCGGAATACATTGGAGGGGAAACACAGTTAAAAGTGCGCCCGTCACTGACTTGAGTGTTGTCCGAGTATCGGCCAGATTAAATTACTAGCAAATCCTTCCTTTTCATGTTGAAGCTACTTCTTGTGATCAGATGGCAATTAAGAGAGAACATTTTTTTAATTGTCTAAAAAACGTGTGAAGTAAGAACTAAATCAAATGAAAGTGTCGGAAGTTTTCGTACTTGGGAAAAACGAAGCAAGAAGTTCTTGGTAGCACTCCTCTCACTGAAGATTTTCAGGAATCTTGATGTTTAAAAAACGGATATCTAAATATAGTGTGAGCATTCAAATTTTATCAGAAATTCCCGGAAAATTATGACATAATATGAACTTTAACAGAGCAATGCCAGCAGAGAATATGTAATTCAATTGTTAACTTCCTGTAAATTAGTAAAACTCTTGCATCACTCTTGCATCATTCGACATAAAATCAAATATTATCATAAAAATATCAACTGGGCATTATAAACAGAAATATTAATTTTTTTGCGACCAGTATATATTGAAGTACCTCATTCAAAATGTTTTGGCTTTATTTTTAGGTCAGAAGGAAAAATATTAGGAGGCGAGAGTACGGAAAATTTTAATTTTTTATCATTAATAATTAATATGGTTGGCACCCTAATATTCCCGTTAGTTTAAAAGCTGATTTGCAGTCGGTAATTAGCCTTAGCAAAATGGGCGCATATGTATTGATTTTCTTTTTTATTAAACCTAAGGTGAGATAATTGTTTCCGTGTAACACATAATTACATTGACAATTTTCCAATACAAATTTATCAGATAACATATCGTACGTAGATCGTATTCCAAAGTATACAAATGAAACGAGTATTGAAGTGCAGGAACGTACTATAGGTTGTAGTCCATCCCATTATACTTTCAAGAATATTTCCTGTGATGATCGAACTTACGTTCGATTCTTATACTTAGTACAAAAATTAAATCTGATCTGCTAATTGCATACTCGAGATTGATCATCATGTGGGGTTAGGAAAAATGAACAATTCTAGGTACAAGTAATTCTATTCATATGCAAACTTTTCCGCTGTAATTCTATTCATATGCAACTTTTCATTTAGAATAAATTTTTTAATTGTCAATTTTAGTGGGGATAAAAAAGGCTTCTCGCATCAATGCAATACAGGATGACAGCGTAGCAGCGCTCATGGCCGCGGTCATTTTGAGGTAAACTATTCTGAAATTCCAGATAACTAAAGCCATTTAGAATCGATTTCATTTAATTGATGTCATAAGCGAGGTAGGGAGCTGCACGCGGTATGGCCGCTATCACTTCAGGAACTCGTCCCTTCGTGAAATGAATCGGCAAGAGATAATTGAGACTATTTTAAGCGCATTTTCTCATTTGTGGAAAAAATGCACTATTGTGCTCGCCAAGTCCGTCCGTCCGTCCGTCTGTTCGTCCGTGACTTCACGTTTTCGTCGACGAGAAAATGCGCTCTCTGTCACTCACAGCAGTGAGTACTGAGTTATATTTTTATGTTGTGTATGTTTGTGTGTGACTATTTTTAGAGTCCGTGTCTATGTGTGTAACTTTATTTGGTTGATTACTAGTTGGTAATTTAAGTAAGCACATGTGTTTGTATTTTTGCGCCAGAATACAGAAGAGTTAACATTCAATGTCACATAACACTGACTTATACACTTTTACGAGCGCTGCTGTATTATCCTGTGTGTACGCATTGCGTGTGTGAGTCCCTGTTTTCATTTCTCAAATAAATGAGTTATTAGAAATTAATCAATCGGGCATTATCCTATAATATAAATTTCGCCTTAATAAATATATGAACTAATGAACTGAAAATTTATTTTACCGATTAAGCCTTCTTAAATATTAATTTTCGTATTCTTAAATTATTTTATAAATATTTTTAACTTTAATGTTAATGTCAGCTTCTGCAGACGAATAAAGTTTCACACATATTCATTCGTCTGCATATATTGTCTATATTTGTATGATTTTAATCAGAGATAGAAAGGAAATTTTGTTGGAATTGAGATATCATTGATTGCAACTATCGAATACGAGCGACTTTTGTTGAAGGCTGTGCTTACATAAAACTAATTTTCAGTCACGCAAAAAGGGATCGCCAAGCTCGTAATCCCAATGGAGACCCTGAAAAACTTCACGCAAATGATATGTTCCAAGTGAATTGAGTAATAATGTTCAACATTCAATTTATACTCGAATGCGTTTCAAGCACAATTAAGGATCAAACCTTTCGCTTCGAAATGACCGCGATAAAGTAGATAGGCCTATGTTTCATAAAACAGTTTTTACATGCCTATAGGATCGAGACGAATGAATACTTTTACTTTTTGTTTGCTAATTTAAAAAAAATCTAATTACTCGTTTTATTAGTTTTACGGACAGTATCATGGGCTTTATTTAGTGTGTTTCAATTTTCATACTCATTTTCTTCTGTTTCTCTATCATCGCTTCCAATGCCGAGTCTCTGCATAACGCGTTGCCTCCTCTTGAGCAGATGCTCCACTCTAGACTTCCTTGCTTCACGCCTCTGTATCTCATAGTCTGTAAGCGTTTTTAAAATTGTAGATTTTCCGTCATTCAAATCCAAGTTTCGGTCCCTGAATCGCGACAAAACTGACTTCGCTCGCGCTTTAAAGTTGTGCGATTTCTCCTGATCAGGCGCCGATTTCTCTTTGGTGTAAATTTTCAACATTTCATTTGCACCAAACGGACATCTCGGGTAAAAATTCGCACATTCTCCGTCGCCATTTGATCTGAAGCCCAAGTATGAAGCAAATCCGTAGTAGAGAGAAGGAAGTGGCATCGTGCGCAGATCTGGCTCCGTTATTACTGACCTGCAAAATAAACCTTTAAGTGACTTTACCGTCATTTTTTATTGCAGTTGAAAATGCAATAAATGCCAAACGAAATTTAAATCATCCAATTAAATTTCTCACTTTTATCTGAAGTCTGAAGAAATTTATTATGAATAGTTTAATAGGTAGCGCCTTATTGATAGGAAACCCAGAAATGTCAAGTAGGCCACTGCAGGAACGTATGCCTATTTAGTTAATTTATGAATTTAGGCTCGGACACGTTAATCAGTTAGAATGAGATATGAGAGTAAGATTGTTTTCCATTTCATGTTGTCTTATGTTGCCATTATTTAATTACTGTAATTTACTCTATCAACAAATCGAACACTAGTAGTAAGGCAACATTTACCTGAAGTACATCATGAGATGTCGTTCATCCTCGGTTAGCGCGCCGGCAGCGCGGGCCGATAATTCGCATGCCAGACGTAGCGCGCACCAATTGGCGTCGAGAGCAAAGAGCGCCGAGAAGTTCGTGGGTGACGACTCAAAGCTTTTGTCGAAATTTGAAGGCTGGACTCCAAAGAGACTTCCTCCATCATCTGAAATTCTGTAAATTGTGTAAACTTTGATTAGGGTAGTCTCATTAATTAATCAGAGTACGAACATTCAATATAGAAGGTAGAGAGTCTCATTTAATAGAGGGTCTCAAAATAGAGGGTCTCACCCTCTATTTGAATGTTCGTACTTTGATTAATTAATGAGGCCCTCTATTTGTGTTATATCTCTCTCTATCTATCTATCTCTCTAATGTTTTAAAATCATAAAATGCTTATAAACGTAGCAGATCTCACGCCCTCTTCCTCCTGACTGCGTTCTCGCCGAAGTAAGCGGCATGGTAGAGGGTGAAGAGCGCTATCCCCGCCAGCGCGTAGAACCCGCTGAACAGGACTGAAGCTGTGCCTGGGGGCATCGGGTTCAAAAAGCAGTTACATTTCATATTTATCATAAGTGTGTACTTATAGCAGTTACGTATCCAACATTACGTTATATTACACTGTTGTGGACCACCAGGTTCGCATGAACTGTTGTCATAAATGAAAGTCTTATCTGGTCAAGATATACTTGAAATCTTACACCACAACACAGATATAAAATTGGGCAAGGTTACAAAGTCAGTTGAGACTATCTGGAACAAGACTTAGACACGCAGACTATATGCATCCTTACTCTCCGCTCTGTAAGATCCGAGTGAATCTGTTCGCACAACACCAGTCAGTAAAGCTACGATTCTTTCTAAAGCAATCTTACAACTTTTAGATCCTTATTAAAATACATCATTTTCCTATACACTGTACTCAGGATAATCCACATTTTTTACCCTTAATAATTAACCTAGCCCTCTACAACACATAATTTTTGCCCAAGTTGAATACGGTACCATGAAATTACATGTATAATGTCAGTCTTCGATATGTAATACGTATATTGTTTGGACGATTTACTTACCTAAGAAACCTTAATTCAACCCGCTGCATACCTGCCACAAATAACTAACAAATGCTTATTATTACGCAAGTTAATAAAGAGACTTCGGGCACCAATTTATGTAAAAAGTTTGATGTTTTTTACCTGCATTAAGCAAATATTTAGTTGACAAATCGCCAGGGAAGCTCCAGAAATTGCTTGTGCCGTTGGTGCTCAAGAGTATGAGCCTGCCTTCGTCATCGTAATCCTCGTACGGGGCATCCAGGGAAGTTTCATTCCAAGAGTCACCAAGCGCGTATAAATCTTTTGATGAATGCTGGGATGAATTTATAAATAAATTCTCATTGGTGGAAACGTTTGCCACATGGTCCATGCCTAAATCCATAGTCGAAGAGGATACTGGAATGAAAACGAATTTGGTTTTGACATGTGAATGGTTTACGCTTAAGTTGATTCAACTTGAGATCGGATATGATCTCTCGGACAAATAATGAAAACTCCTCTAATTGAAACCTTTTGTCTACCATTCTTGACGATCGGAAGGTTTACATTTAAGATGAATTATCAGCAAATCTGGGGTGTAATCTTAATAAATGTAATGAAAATTCTGAGGTGAATCATTAAATTTTTCTGTATAGCAAACTAAACGCTACAGACAAATCTTAATTAAATTAATAGGTTTTTCACCAAAATTGAACTCACCTGTTGTGTAAAAATTACCCATTTTAAGGTTTTCACATGTTAAATTACGAACTATTATTGAAATTTCATCAGACTGCACATATATAAATGATAACGTAGCACACAAAAAAATTCTCTAAAATAACTCGTGTAAAGCCTGGTGACACTGCCACTCTCCCGCGATGTTTGCAGAGCGTTAGCGGGAAGTCCACTGAGAGTTCGACGGACAAATTCTGCGCGTGGAGAAACAGTCGTGGGAAGAGGGGTAAACCGTGGGAAAAAATGAAATCGTGGGGAAAAGGGTAAATCGTGGGAAAAATTTAAATCGAGTAGCGTCTGAGAAGACCGAGTGAAATTTTAGAGATTCTGGAGAATATGAATATGGCGACTAATGATCATGATTGACATGGTTGGCTTCAGCACATTACAACGAATGTCGACCGGGATCTCAATGTCAACATTGTCATTATTATTACTATTTGCATCGTGAACAAAACTGCTATAATAACCACCTTCAGAATAACATAATTTAATTAATAATTTTTACACGAAAAGAATGAACTAGTATATTATCGATGACATCGCCATAGACATTATCATCAAAATTGTTTTGAACACTCACTCTTGTAACAAAATAATCATTATTATCAGCATCATCAACATCATTATTATAATCAAAATCATATCAACATTAACTTCCCATAAACATAACAGTCGACACCATCATCAGCCGTCCGAACACGTTTAACAACTATTCTTTAACATCATCACTGATGTCAACATCAACACTACGTCATCAGAACTTGATTCATTATGATCCCCGTCAGGAAATTTGCTATCTAAACTTTTATCAACATCAACATCGCCGTCAACATCAACATCGCCCTCAACATCAACATCACCGTCAACATCAACATCGCCCTCAACATCAACATCGTCCTCAACATCAACATCACCGTCAACATCAACATCGCCCTCAACATCAACATCGCCCTCAACATCAACATCGCCGTCAACACCACCCTCAACTTCTACATCATCATCACCTTCAACATCACTATCACAAACAGCATCATTATCACTACTATCACATCATCTAAATTTAGACAAAAAAAAAACATTTAAGAATTAAAATTATGATCATCTCGGTGTTAGTTGTTAACAGTTGCTTGCAAATTCTGTAAGAATAGCACTGACATATAAAGATCCGATTGTTATTGCTTGTGAAATGGAGACTTGTGTAGTACAAACATCGTTAGGAATATTATTCTCTTTAATTGGTAAGGAGCTGAATATATATAAGTAGATGAATATAATTAAGTAGGTGCACTTATTTAAACTAATGGTTATAATTAAGTAGATGATATAATTGAGTAAGTGAATATAATTAAGTAGGTGTATTTAATTAAGTAGATGGATCTAATTCAATAACAAATAAAATCAAATATTCTTGCTCGTAATCTACCGACTTTTTCTGCTCCGCTGGAATGGGTTAACTGACCTTTTAGGTACGGTTGGAAAATATAAAGCAATAATTGTTATAAGTATATACTATTAATAATAATATTCTTATTATTATGTATTTCATTACAATATTAATACTATTAATGAATAATAGACCTGTAATTTTTGAATTGATGTAAAATTCATGCAGAAATGACATTGTCCAGGAGACCAGGACATTTCTCCCTCAGGACAGTAGAGAGAACACGGACGGCGGTGTTCACACGGCGGAGAAAGTTACACGGCGCAGCGCGTGTAGTTCCGCTGCATGGTGCACAGTACGAACACTTTCCCCTTATCCTGTCCGAGGAGTTTTCCTTATCATTATAGTAGCATGCACGGCTAAGTGCCTCCTTATTAGATTAATTTCACGTTTATTTAATCAAATTAATTATTTATTTATTATATGAAATATTCGTGAATAAGTGATAAAGCGTCTTCTATATGTAATTGAAGTATCCCATCGTAAAGGGGTAAACCTTTACGGTTTACCTTCCTGTCCATGATTGTTTCTTCTCGTATTTAATAAAATTTCGTTCATTGGTTATATTGATATACGAAGCAAATCACTCGATGGAGATGGAGGACAAAGACTCTATTGCATTGATATCAATTAATATTTTCCTCAATCTTCGATAGCTTCAAATATCTCGTACATCGAGGCCGTCACACCAACGGCTTCCCTGCAAGAAAATGACGTTGAAATAACTTGAATTACGAGTTAATTTCATTAAAATAATGTTTAACCATCGTTATTTCAATGTTAGATAATTGGTGGCTTGATACTTCAACTACATCAAATAGTTTTGTCGTTACATCAAATAGGGCCTCAGGCTGAGCCATGCGAGAACCATGAATCTGAGCCACTCTGCTGTAGACCATTGGGCTGTGAACCATCATGGAAGTCGAAACAGGCGGCTGGTGAGACCACCTGGAACTGGAACCGATACCTGCGGTTGGTAAGCCCTACTACTGTTGAACCATTATGCTGTTGAATTTCTCTGCTGTTGAACCCTATGTTGCTGAATCATACTCCTCTCGACCCCTGATCTTGTTGAAACGCTTAACTGTTGAACAACTTGGCTATATAACCCCACTTTTGTTAAACCCCCGTTCTTTTGAACCCATCAGCTGTTGAACACTGCGTGTGCTTGCAGACATCATTGTCGTGTTTCCGGCAACGCTTCAACACCGGGTGGCTGGGTCTTCATTTAACTGTCAGAAACGACACCATGAAATTTCCTCTAACTTATCTGTACTTAGTCTACATTATTCCCAAGTCTACAATATTTCCCGACATTTCGCGGTAACGTTAAACTTGAACATTTTTTCTTTTTCTGGCGCTGTAACGTGTTTGTAAAGAACATCATAACTTCGCGAGAGTATGGCGCAGGCATTATCCTAATTGGATAGTTGCTTATCGTTGTCAAACTCAGAAAACGTGACGTTTTAATATTAACAAGAAGAAAAATAAATAGGCTCTCCCTCTCTAATCAGAATTGACATTTTTCGCTTAAATCAAACGGAAAATCGATTTACAATTCGATTGTAAATAGAGATATTCTTCAAATAATAAACGTTAATGGCGTTCATTAAATCATTGATGGAACTTTCGGTTTGAAGAATTTCATGCCGCTTTATGATGGAGGTTGGTAACAGTAGCCTAGTTCTCAAAACACAAAGCTTGCAACTTGATAATTGATACGCAACTTCCGTATAGTTTTTTAATGTATCATGATACTATCTTTATACGCTCCTTCTTACCATTGATGCGTTTACTTATCCATGCAATTTTAGTCCTTTTGCTTTTCAATGATGACTTTAATTTCATGCTTTTAAAATTTCGTGCCGACTTGGTTATTTCACCTAGTAAAATGGCATTAACGGTTCGTTTTCAAGAACGGCACATAACATGTTATTTTCAACCTCTTCGATGATGCAAAAAATATAAAACCATGCGATGAATGAATGGTTAAAGAAATTACCTCTTTATATTAGAGAGGAGGTGACTAAATTAAAAGATGATAGCAAAGGGTGAACACAATTACGTTGTATAAAAGAAGATAAAAGCAGCTGCGCTGTCGTAATGGAAGAAAACACACGTTGTTATTAACAATGGTGGTTATCACAACCACGCCGTGTTTATATAAAACTTCTGCCATGACGTCGGTAGTTCGATGCCTGACGTGTAGTCTTATTTAGTCTGCTGACTGCAACAATTGAGGCAACCGGTCTGACTTGCCGTGTCCGCTCGATGCGCTTCATGAGCCGCATGCCTAGCATGACGATGAGTCATGCTGCGTTCACAAGCCATACGTATGCTAACGTGGACGCAACACAAACTTCGATTTCGTGCCGAGCGTGAAAGAAGTCATAATTTATTTTGATATGATTGAACGATGCGGATGTTGGTTTTGACTATATATAAAGGTGATGAAACTAAACTTGTATCTCGTAAATATTTATAATCTTTGTTAGGCAGTCAGCTTTTGCCTAGGATTCCGATTAAACCCATTTAATCTCAGAGGAAGCACTTAACGGACGAAATAAATGGTTTCAGTCTTCATTATTAGCATAAGTAGTATAATTAGCTGCAACGCATGCCAGATATGTCAGACGTATTTACTCTAGATAGTCTTGACGGTACAGACAGCTGATTTTTCAATTTTAGCTGTCCCTATGTCCCTATGACGCGTTCATTCATCCGACCACACCTTTATAAAAATTTCGTTAAAGTTTAAAAACTCACCAAAAACATAAATAAATGTCGTCCGTAAGATGATTTCATCTCATCAAATGAATATTGAACTAAAATTTATTGAAAATTTCTAAATTCTTATTAATGTGCTTCAATTATAGTCGGGATGTCGATATGCTCTGAATCTGAACACCAAATAGAAATTATTCGTGTTTCCTTGTACGGCTTTGGTTTAACAGTGATCTGATAAACAGACTTCAATGACCTACGAAAGTGTAATGTGGAGCAAACTTCACATGTCGCATGTACTGTTTAAATAATGCTTTACAAGTCAGTGATTGTATTATGACAGAGTTTGTTGAGTAATGAGGTGATCCATATGCTTTAGCTCAGAAAAACAATAGGTTTGTCTCAATTCAATATTTTTCGGCACAAAATATATTGATCATGAAATTATTTTGAAATTAAATAAATTTTCAGTTTCCATAACTTAACTTGCATATTGTTTTGTCGAATAAAATTCCAGTTATAGCTGCCAAATTGCGAAATATGAGGAAAGTGAATATGGTTATTTAGAGTAGCTAACTAGATGAAAAACCGTTCACATGCCAACATTATATAAAATTAATATCATCATGTCGTTACATTTTTTATCGATTTCTTCTTGACAATTTTGATGATCAGTTTGAATTGTTTTGTTGGATTCGAACAAGTGCCGACACAGTATGTTTGCAATGAAGGTATACACAAGAAGTCATTTTTATCAGCGTTGAGTCTGCTACGAAACGAAGAGAACTACTATCTTATAATGAAAAATCAGCAGCAGTAAAGTTTTAAAATAAATTTACAGTAGTAAATTCAATAAACAATTCATATTAGGCACATTCAAAGAAGATATTGAAATATATTCCGTTTGTTCTAAAAACAGCCACTAGAGGGAACACTTGCAGGAGCAGGTGTTTATGATTTCATCAAGATTCGCTTTACCAGTTTTATCAACAGTAGTTAGTTGTCAGTCAGAGTTACGAATCTACTTAACAAATCAAAATAATGGCTAAAAAAACCTATGATCTATTGTTCAAACTGTTATTAATCGGAGACTCTGGTGTTGGGAAAACATGTATTCTATTTAGATTTTCAGATGATGCGTTTAATACCACATTCATCTCTACAATAGGTGAGTCAATCATGAATCATAAAATTCAGAGACAAATTAGCACATCAGCCGATCAGCCTAAGCTTAGACGATCAAATTGCTTATTGCTATATTATTCGAGGCCAATCAGCAATTCAGCATTATAATTTTTATAAAATTATTGAGTCTTGAGGGATCATAATATTTAGCTAGAGAAAAAATTTGTCATGTAAGAATGCTTCTAAATGTTACATCCGTCTTCTTAATTTGCCATTTAGTACTAGCTAATAGCTATCGACCTACGTAATTCAAAATTGAAAAAATTCTATTCCTCTTCTGCTGATATATTTTGGTTTCTACTTTCTATCTTGCATTTTGGTAAAATTGTTATATTGTGGATACCTAATTTGTGGCCAAGAATGCAGTTTTATCCTTAATTTTATAGGAAAACCCATTGAAGTAGCCTAATTAGGCGCCGCATAAGCAGAAGCCTAGTACAAACTTCTATGTTACGTGTTAGCCCCTTCTAGAAAAAGTGTAATAGTGGAGAATTGACTATGGATATTTGAATAGTAAAAGTTATTTTTTTCTATTATTATGGCTCCAATATTCATCATTTTGTTTGGTATCTATTCTGGTAAATCAGGCCAAAGCCACCTGGAAATGAGATATACCTATAAATCATTAAATCTCTTATAGCCTTACTTACGGGTAATTTCATTAATTTTTATGATTCTTGCCTGTATTTTTCATGTAAAATTTGAAAAATTGTCTCCTTTTTTCTTATTTTTTGAGAAGTTGGTTGTTAAATGAAAACTCATCCAGCAATTTACAAAATTTTTTGTCTCGTACCTATTCTAAATTGAGTTGGTCATGATTCATCATTTCATGAAACATTATGGCTCTAAAATCATGTAATTTGGTTGAATTAAAAATATGGCATACAAATATATGATTCTGTTATTTCTGTAAAATTTCAGTATATAAGTCTAAAACCCTTCTTTAGGTTGCTAGAGACCGTTTTACTGAGGTTAGGTCCAGCCAGGTCAAGTTTTTTTTATATATTTTTTGCAATTTAGAAAAAAAATTAATTAAAGTCCGGTAAAGTGGAACTATAAATATATATATATATATATATACTTCAGTTTAGCTGTAGTTGGGAACATAGTGGCAAACCAGAGCTTTTTTAGAATCAGTTCATTTTTAATTTCCTCATTTACTCAAGATTTGAACCAATTTCTTATGTATGATAATGCTGGTATCCAGGATACTTTATTGGTCTACATATAGGACTCAAAAATGAACTTGAGGGAGAGTCTAAAAAACTCTCTGCTTTGCCACTATGGTTGGGAAAAGTCCATGCTCTGGACAAAACATCCTGCATGACGAGTCAACCCAAAATGTCTCATTGGAGATCACATAGGTGCAGTTACACCGTCACCAGACTGAATTATCACATGTTCAGTTGCCTCTAAAGACAAATGTGATTGTTACTGTTTTTAGTGTAAAATTGGAGATCTGGGCTAACACGTGCACTGGACTTTCTAAATTAGTAATGGCTTGTAAATGTTGTAATGGTCGTCTTTATTGGCTAGGTGAGGGAAGGTATTCAAGGTTCTTTAAACTCTAAAGGGTTAAATAAAAGATGGCCTCCCAACTCTCCTTATAGCCATTCCTGTCCACCAGGGGCCATACTTTCAAAACTCGCTAAGTGAATGTAAGTACGGTACCGTACTTACGCTCTATTTTCTTGTCTATGATTGGTGGATTTTGCTTGAAAGGCCATCACCGATTGGCTGATGAACTTACGATCTCTTAACTTTTTTGAAAGTATAGGCCCTGGAATTTTTCTCTTTTTTGTTCAACTTTATTTAATTCTAATACAAGATTTAATTATTAAGGAACTTAAAATTTAAACAAGATAGGGAACCCTAAATCAAAAAACCAAGCCAAATAACTGGGTAACTGGAAAACCGTTAACCGTATACTTGGATAACTGTATACCGTAACTCCTAAACCGGACAACCGACAACCGTACAACTAGGCAACCGGGCAAACGGGGCATGGGTTGCTCATAAAGTACTTGAAGATGTTTTTGTAAAATATTTACATTACCCAACACAACTATTATTTAACACAACATCAATACAAACTTCAAAACATATTATACACAATAAACTATCAAGCAGGATAACAGATAAATATATTTCTCATCTATAACAGTATTATCAAAAACACAACATTTAAATCTTCATCAATGGATATATGAACAGTGATTAAAAAAGGTATATTTTGGCAACTACTCACCAACCACAAGCAGTAGTGTGAGTATAGGGTATCAACTGATAGGAGATTTGGAATTTGAATCACCACTGACCCATAAAATAATGGTCTGCAAAAAGGGCAAAGAGAATGAGATGGAGAGCACTAATAACACAAATACCTAGTATAGATAATATTCACCATGAATTTCAGGATTCTAAATAATTTCACATTAACTTGGAACTGGAGGAGCATTACTTCCCCAAGTGGGATTAAGGTAACCACCACTCTCCAGCAGTAAGAGTGACAGCCCATAACAATGTCTCTTCATGGCTCAAAGAAATGGAATCACAGCTACATATGGAATCCCATATCTACTATGTACACTTTTTTTGTACAGTATAATCCATGTCTGCATGAGTGCCATAGTCAAGCTCATGCATGGATTATATCTACTTTACAAGCCATAAAAAGAACTTTCCTGCCATTTTTTAGAGCTGCAAGATTTTTGCTACATTAATTATGTATCTCATATCTAAATGTTAACAAAAGTGCATGATCAAGTCCCAAGATTGCTAATTTATCAAAAGTATGACACTTTCAAGCTACACGATACAAGTATTTGGTAGGAAATTCTCTATCTTGTTCATGTCAAGATAACCTGCACAGTAACTGCATCCAAAATACCTCCTTGATGATATTGTAGTTGAGGTCCTGTCAGAAAAGTAACATTATCCATAACTTGGAATCTTGTGCTTGAGTGTACACTTTTATTTATTAACAATTAGATTGAAGTTGATTTTTCATGGGGGTAAGCTCTTGTCATGGCTCAAAAAGTATATAGATGCATGCTTGTCTATTGGCTCATTATCATCTTGTTTTTCCATTTAAAAAAAAGCCTTCAAATTTTTAAAAACAGGCAACTCAAATTCCAGTAAAAAAATGTTTGAAATTATATTTATTATAGAAGACATTAGTATTTTTCAGTTAGTTTTAATCCACATAGTGTTTAACATGTCATTCTGTGGTGAACACTATTCTTGATCTTTTCTACTGTGTAATCAAATAATTCAATGCTCTTTAGAGACTGCACTTGCAAAAACATGAGTTGGGATATTGTTCCACTGTGAGCAGCAATTTATGAATTTGGTTGTTTTGTTACCATATCTGTATCTATTAATATATGTATCTATCTATACCTACCCATATCTATCATTCTGTTGGAATAACTTGATCCAATCCCAGTTGCAGTAATAGTAAACTTTAGGATCATGTAATAATTATCCTAAAATGAATTTTTTAATGCACATATCACTTTATTGTCCTATTGTATGTAATTTTTTCTAAAATTTCACTGATCTAAAACTTTAATTTCCAGGTATTGACTTCAAAATCAAAACTATTGAATTAGAAGGAAAAAAAATCAAGCTTCAGATATGGTAAGATTTTTCTTGGTTAATTTATGATCACACTACCTACCTTTTATCTTGAAATAAATATAGCATCTATGGGACGCCTGTTGGAGACCACCACTGCCGTGCTTTGAATGGACTATCATGATGCCTTCCCTGAAGAACGTAGCCTACAACACATCTTGACTGTAATGTTATCAGCCGCATGCCACCAGACAGATCACATCCATTGAATTAGATCAATCAGCCCACAGGAAAATAAGCCTGGCGTTGTATGGCCCAGCATCGTCTGCCAACTCGCACAAAAATTTTACACCACCCGGACGGAGCGCGCCGGAGCTGTCCGTATCTGTCCCGTGTGTCGAACCAGCCCACGGTCGAATGGCCACGCGTCGTACGGCGATAAATTATGGAACAGAACTATGCTATCTGGAACCTAACCCCAAATGCTGTGAGCTAAAAGTTACGTAATTTAGCAAAGCTGTAGAAGTCGCTCGTCAAAGGACGATAGATTTTGGAACAGAACTATGCTTTCTGAAACCTAACCCCAATGCTGTGAGCTAAAAGTGATGGTCTGGTGGTGCACGGCAGGATGCACACAGTTCCACTGGCAACCTGGGCTGGTTGGTCACAGTCCGTTGTCCGCAAGTTACAATTCGAGCTAAAGTCAGGGTATGAAGTGCTGATTCGATGCAACGTTCAGTGGTGCACAACCATAACTCTCTGGGCTATTCGCTTCAGAATATGGTGGCGTAAAGCTCCTAATATTTAAAGCAAGATGATGTCACGGGCAGTTACCGACGGTTGGCTTAATCCGCAGCTGATTGGTGGACATCCGGAAATATGCTAGGCGTTCTTTTCAAGGCTGATTGGTGCCCAAATTTAGTGGTGCACGGCTGCGTACCCTCATCTATATTTTCATGTATTGATATATTTTTTGTTTATTATGTTTCCTTTTATAATGTACAGTAGGTATATAAAAAAATGAAAAATATAGCTGAACATTGCATAACAGTTGTCTGTGTCACTTAGTTCCCATGATGGCAAATTGTTGTGTAGTGATATTTAATTAGAGTTTGTGACATAGTTCATGTGACATTGAGATCATTTTGTAATGTTAGCTTTAATCTAATAGGGATATAAAAATTTTGTCTAATTGATTATGTACATGATTGTTCATAAATCATAATGCACTTGTACTATAAATTGTTGCTCTTCAGGGACACTGCTGGCCAAGAAAGGTTTCACACAATCACAACCTCATACTACAGAGGTGCCATGGGCATCATGTTAGTTTATGACATCACCAATCCCAAAAGTTTTGACAACATAGCAAAATGGTTAAGAAATATAGACGAACATGCCAACAAAGATGTTGAGAAGATGATCCTTGGCAACAAGTGTGACATGGAGGACAAGCGAGTAATCCCCAAAGAGAAAGGAGAAGATGTGAGCATAAAATAGTTTTATTGTGGCTTCCATCTAATTCTAAATATCTTTATTTGTGGAAAATACTTTCTATTGACAGTTTTAAACTGACCAGTAGGTATATAATACATCATGCTTGCCTAAAATGGTGAATTAGTTCAGTTTTAACTTAAGCTGACTCATAGCTAGATCTTATAGTATGTAGTGATTCCTTCTTTTTTATTGCTATTTTATATTTTAAATCAACTACCCACTCAATCTCAAATTTGTTCCCTGTTATTCCATTCAAGTAATTTTATGTGTTGTTGCAGGTTTTATGACATTTTCTCTATAATATAGGTAACTAATGTTAATGCATTCACAGATTGCAGCAGAACATGGAATCCGGTTCCTAGAGACCTCAGCCAAGGCAAACATCAACATTGAGCAAGCCTTCCTGGAGCTGGCGAGCGCAATCCTCTCCAAGACCCCCGGCAGGGACCCCGCACAGCAGCCTGACTCTAATGTGCGCATCAATGCTCAGAGGGAGAAGCCTAGCCAGAGATGCTGTTAATTTCACAAACTTGTGAAGAAGCAAAGTGTTTGTCTTGATTTAATTAGGACCGAGGCAACTCAGATGACAGAACGGTTTTAAACTCGGGCAACAAGATTAATCTGCTTAACAAGAGGGCGTTGTATTTATTAATTGGTACTGGAGAGACTATAATGTATTTAGTTAGTTGATAATACAATTAACATGGCATAAAGTAAGACATCAAGGGCTTGATTTAATTAGAACAGGGATAATTCCTGTATATCTGGTCAGCTACTGATCTGATAGCAAGATGAAGCTTTTAGTATTTGGCATTATTTGATAAGACTGTGTAATTAACTTGGCGTTCTTCTCTCCTGGCACATGCAACACAATCGAGGGAATTAAGCCCATGTTTTTCCCCCAAAGGTTTTTTTGTGTTTGCATAATTAATAACTTCAATAAAGAACGTTATGGATACTATTGCTTTAACTGGCGTCTTCCACACGCCATATGATGTAGACTCCATAGAGAAGGCAAGTTACTCTAGTGTCATTTAAATTGAGGGGGTTACTCTTCAGCTTGATGGAAGGACGAGAGAGAATGGCCAATTGATGATGCAGTGGAACAAGTTGAAAGATGTTGCACTGGCTGCACGTTGACTGTTACTTGAAGAGACTGCAATAGCAGTAGTTTTGGGCGATGAAACACAAATTTGGCACTCACCTGGGACTTAGGAGGAGGGTATATACCAAGGTCTTCTAGTTTCTGGGCCTGGCATTCACTAACAATTACAAAATTATTGGGGGTAAAATAAATGTTAGCAGAAACTTGTCCCGTGCTAAATAGCTGGCTTTTATGAGCGGGTGTAATTGGCTGCCATGAGAAATGACCGCGCTGGAAGAAGAGCGGCCATTAAACTGCTCAGTTGTAGTTTGTTACTGATGCCATTAGCAGAAAAATGGCAGCAAGCTAGGATGTCACTAACAATCAATGTGTTCTAAATCTTGAGTGAGCAAAGCAATCTCCTCTACTTCTCGCTCAAATGGAGTCCCGCTAGCTGCATTTTTCCTCTTTTCGAGTGTCGAAACCATAGCGGTGTTTGTTTGAAGCAAAAGATATGCATCGTTTTCTATTACTATGTGTGAAATAGCACTGCAATTTGTCAACAAATTGCTGCCACGTATAGTGAAAATAACCAATATTTCTGTATTATGACCATTAAATAATTGTCACTCTGGAAAGAAATACTTTCGTGAAGAGCTTGAGTGTCTATATATGTAATTAAACCTTATTTGAGTTATAGTTTTGTTTATCTAATGATTTACTGTACACACATCTGGGTTTAAAAGGGTGCTTTTCGCACGACTATCGGTATTGTGTAACTGCAAATAACTGCTTTACCAGTCCGCTGGGAAGATGGCAGGAACAGTTTGCACATGCGCAGTGCGGGAAGCTGCTTTTGACCAGATGAACTATGCTGCTGTTGCGCGGCGTGAACAATGGGCTGAGAAGATTCTAATTATAGTAAGATGCTTACAGAATTATTCTGTTAGGATGGCGACAAAGAAGTTAGAATTTAAGAATTTCAATTAGGCTATATAGAAGCTTTGGTGTGTTCGTGCGGGTGTTGTCCTCGCCATTGTTGCGCCATTTTCTATGTTCATTCAAAAATGTCAACAGGCTTTTCTTCAACGGCATGTGACTTTTATGTGTAGATACATAGATTTTTCAGTGCCTGTGGATTAAACTATGTGCGTACAGCAGCGAGCATCCCACACTAACCTCAATATTGTCGACGTCGATCCAAAAGATGTTGGACTCGCACATCGGCAGAATCAGTGTCGTCGAGCCATGTCTTGCCAACGAGAATGTGCATGGTTGCTTTTAACTCTCAGATCGACTTTACGGCTGGACCTATTAAGAACTCGGACACACTCCTCAGTTTTTACTGTAATATTCACCCGACCGAGGTCTTACTTGACAGGTGTAATTATTGAAGAACCTCGTCCTGCGCATGATAATAGCTGTACATTTCTACGGAATGTTTAAGCACGACGGAAAATGGCTATTTGCTTGTTTCTTAATTGAGAAGTGGACGTTCTTCACTCAAGAAATTGTTAAACTAAAATTTGGAATATGTTTGTATTTCGGATAATATTTGCTTTCAGATATAAGTCTATGTAACTTTACATGCACAAGAAGAGTGATTTTAACTTCGGAGTGCTCATCATGCTGGAACACACGAGTCATGGAGGCCTGAAGTTCTGGAAGCTTCGTCTGGTCAGGCTCGACGACGTGTTCTTGTAATGACAACTTAACTATTAGGAGTATAGTTCATTCAGAGATGGTCATTTATTGTTGCGGTAATTACGAACTAATGCAGAATTTCATAATAAAACAAGTCAATTGGTCCGAATAACAATGATGTAATGTTTACCGCCGCGTCCGTAACTGTAAACCTGATGGAGCCTGTCTCTGCAGCCGAGCTCTTGATTTTTTGTAGAACATTCGAGGATTTCATCAAAATGTGTATAGATGCATTTTTGGTAGCGCTGTCAACTCCGAGTTTTTATGTCATGTGAGTACTGTAAACTTTCTGGTAAGTTGATTAATAAATTATCACTCGTAATATCTGAATAGTAAACCTAACTGATCGACTCTCAAATATTTTCCTTCCAGACCAAATATTTACTCTCGTTTCGGTTATGTCTAGAACGAAATTAGGCAATAAATGTCTCGAGTGTTCAATTAAATATCATTGCTTCGTTTTTTTTACATCCAGAATATAAAATCATGTAGACAAATCTCTCAAAATTTTCTGAGATCAAAAAATGTTATAATTGAGAAATCTACTTGTGAATTATACGCTGATAAATCCGCCCTCTTTAATTGCAAGTCTTCAAGTTCGACCACAAACTTGTGCGCAATTCTTTCTAAATTGCAAAATTAAAATACTCTGCTTTAGACGAATAGTTTCATGTGACTATAGGTATTGAATTTACTGAATTGCAATCTTACATGACCGTTATGAACAAATTTATTGACTACAATATTCTTGCTTGACTTAGATGGCCACCCCGTTAAGGTTAAGACCTGACCTTAACCTTTACAAGGTTAAGAGTGCTAACTTAGAGCTGCGAGTTTGGGGTGCGATCTTCGCTAGCTGTAAAAATTCTGGTCAAAATCGGCGAGGGGGACAAGTGAGAACAACAGAACAACAAAGTTTGAGAGTTAGCGATGGGCCGGACACAGCCAAATCAACGTCATCACCTAATTACTTTGGTTGTGAAGCCCCGATTAATATTCCTTCGTCTCTATGGTCATAAATTATCGTCTTGATCGTGATTAAGATGTTAATATCTTTCAGTTATCAAACAAACCACTAAGATACTCGCTATAAATCGGTGCACTTTACGATAACATTCAACGGGGATCAGCCTAAGTAAGTTTCCTTAACCATTGAATAATAGCAAAACGTTAATATTATTAATAGCGTTCTAATGCCTAAATAGTCATACGCGTTGCCATGGCGACTGCGTCCTGTAGCTGCAGCGTTCAGTGGCTCCGCGCTCAGGACGAACACTGGGGTTTTGTTGCGAGAAATTTGTAGTGTCAATATTATGATGAAAACATTAATGACAAAGTTGAAAAAATTGTAATTTTGATTGACCGCACTAATTGACCGTCTCAAGTATTGAATATTGTTAATTGTAGTGCAGATTAAGCAATGAGCAGGAGACATATTATCTATATCATACATATCGGACATTAGCAGGAGAAACAAATTATTTCCGTACGCTCTGTCATCTCATGATAATGACGCTGTCATCATGATAATGACGCTGTCATCATGATAATGGCGTTGTCATCATAAAAATCTAAAATACCGTCTTTAAAGATTCAACCGGGGTTACTTTCTTGTGAAAGTTGATATTGATAGTTACACTGCTACACTAAATAGACCAAACTTTCTAAACCTTGCCCACGTGACCAACTTCCTGTCAAAAGTTTTATAACTCATCTTATCGAGGACATCTGACATCGTTGTCGCCTCTAATTAAAAACTTCAGAAAATTTTAATTTACTGAAGACTATTTTTTTCATCGCCTGGCAGAGCTGACCACAGATGGTGAGTTTAATACGGTACCGGGTGCTTAATTTGGTGACAGGAATGATGAATTAGGAATGAGATTCAGCGAATTGTGAGACGCAGGGATAGGTGGAATATGCTCAGTTCGAAGCGTATTATTTTTATTATATGAATTCTGTTTCTTATTCAAAAATATTTGGACCTTAGTGCACATTTAAGGATTACATAAATAAACTGAAACTTGTTTTCAGTTTTTATTATTTGGTTCGAATGCACCTCACAAGAAAAGCAAATCACACTTGCGTTTCAACAAAATAAAATAAATGACAAGTCAACTGCGAATTATCTGATCGACAAATTTTTTTAACGTTTAATGATTTATTATCGGTATTGTGAGTAACAGTAGGGTAACGTGGGGCAGCGCGCCCCCCACTTTTTTCAAACTAAATTTTTGATGAAGTTTTAATTGATACGAGATGGTTTTTTGTTTTGTTTAAAGGTGCAACTAATGAGGAATGTATTATGTGAATTAGACGCCTATAGAGTTATTCAATTTTTAATGAAACACTATTTTGTAAAAAGTGTCAAAATGGGCCCATTGCCCCACCCCTGGGGCAATGGGCCCATGGGCTTGGGGCAAGGCGCCCACCCTTGNAATGCCCTTCTTCATCTCGATATACCTGAGTGATGAATGCCCTTCTTCATCTCGATATACCTGAGTGATGAATGCCCTTCTTCATCTCGATATACCTGAGTGATGAATGCCCTTCTTCATCTCGATATACCTGAGTGATGAATGCCCTTCTTCATCTCGATATACCTGAGTGATGAATGCCCTTCTTCATCTCGATATACCTGAGTGATGAATGCCCTTCTTCATCTCGATATACCTGAGTGATGAATGCCCTTCTTCATCTCGATATACCTGAGTGATGAATGCCCTTCTTCATCTCGATATACCTGAGTGATGAATGCCCTTCTTCATCTCGATATACCTGAGTGATGAATGCCCTTCTTCATCTCGATATACCTGAGTGATGAATGCCCTTCTTCATCTCGATATACCTGAGTGATGAATGCCCTTCTTCATCTCGATATACCTGAGTGATGAATGCCCTTCTTCATCTCGATATACCTGAGTGATGAATGCCCTTCTTCATCTCGATATACCTGAGTGATGAATGCCCTTCTTCATCTCGATATACCTGAGTGATGAATGCCCTTCTTCATCTCGATATACCTGAGTGATGAATGCCCTTCTTCATCTCGATATACCTGAGTGATGAATGCCCTTCTTCATCTCGATATACCTGAGTGATGAATGCCCTTCTTCATCTCGATATACCTGAGTGATGAATGCCCTTCTTCATCTCGATATACCTGAGTGATGAATGCCCTTCTTCATCTCGATATACCTGAGTGATGAATGCCCTTCTTCATCTCGATATACCTGAGTGATGAATGCCCTTCTTCATCTCGATATACCTGAGTGATGAATGCCCTTCTTCATCTCGATATACCTGAGTGATGAATGCCCTTCTTCATCTCGATATACCTGAGTGATGAATGCCCTTCTTCATCTCGATATACCTGAGTGATGAATGCCCTTCTTCATCTCGATATACCTGAGTGATGAATGCCCTTCTTCATCTCGATATACCTGAGTGATGAATGCCCTTCTTCATCTCGATATACCTGAGTGATGAATGCCCTTCTTCATCTCGATATACCTGAGTGATGAATGCCCTTCTTCATCTCGATATACCTGAGTGATGAATGCCCTTCTTCATCTCGATATACCTGAGTGATGAATGCCCTTCTTCATCTCGATATACCTGAGTGATGAATGCCCTTCTTCATCTCGATATACCTGAGTGATGAATGCCCTTCTTCATCTCGATATACCTGAGTGATGAATGCCCTTCTTCATCTCGATATACCTGAGCGATGAATGCCCTTCTTCATCTCGATATACCTGAGCAATGAATGCCTTCTTCACCTGAGTATACTTCAGATCAATGTAATGCCCTTTAAAGCGTATTTTTATTTTATCGTAGCTTAATTTATTGACTCGACCAGCGACCACGCGTGTGTTTAGAACATACGAAGAGTTGACGTTGGGCATGCAAGACACGGACGTATATATCCGAGGTCAATTCATTATTATTCCGTTTACACGACTAAATCTGATCTAAATTATACGACTAAATCCAAATAAAATATACGACTAAATCTAATTTATTGTATTTCGGTGTCTCTGACATTTAATAAGCGTATCTAGTTTAGCATAAAATTTCCCTCGTAGAATTATAGGCGGGTAATTCAAATTAGTAGATTTACTGTTAATGCATGAGTGATTTTGCTTCTTAATTTCTTTTGCATTATTTTTTATTTTTGATTTCCCGTTCGCAGGCTGCGAGGAAGAAGATGACGAAGGAGGAGCGAGAACAAATAAGAGCTGAGGAAGCGGAGAGGAAGAGGCAGGAGGAAGAGGAACGAAGGTGAGGCAGAATAACTGCAATTTTTAATTAATTTCAAAAGTTTTTCCGCGATAAATACGTTCTTGGTGAAATTATATTTCAAAATCTAATTTGTGTCAGTGTCGGAAAAGAGGGAAATTGGGGATATATAATTTAAGCATTTATAACCTGCCTCTTTATTTAGGCTGCTAGAAGAGGCTGCTGAGGCTGAGAGGCAGGCTGCCGCAGCTGCTGCTGCTGCTGAGGCTGCAGCAGAGGCTTTGAGGCGCATGAGGCTGCGGTGCGAGCAGCTGAGGCGCACCAAGAGGCTGTGTGAGGCTCACGAGGCCAGCATGGAAGTCATCAAAGCAAAGCTTGTAGAGGACAAGGAGGTTACTTATACCGCATTACATATGTTCTCATCATTGATCTGCAGCACCTAGATTTGTTAATATATATTTGTAGCCTATAAATGTTTTGTTCCGCATTTATTATTGAATTAAGTTTATGTCCCAAGGTTCATAAGGTTCCAATGTTCATTGGTGGGTTGCCCTCACCAATGAATACGACCTTAGTTAACATCATTTTCTGATTCTAAACATCGGAACTTCTCATACTGGGAATAGCAGTTTTTTTCTTTATAAAACTAAAATTGAATAATATCGTATTTTTACCTCTGTATACCGATATGTAATTTTAATGAATAATTTTAAGAGAGTATGCCTTATTCATCCAGGGTTAAACACTGGGACAGAAGATATCGGTATAGAACAGCGTTATTCCATGGACCTATTATAATAGGCCATGGGCCTATTTCTTCAACGCCGACAATTCTATTCTATTCTTTCTGATCCTAAACTTGCCTAGCTACGCTTTAGATCATTACTGGCAAATTGCATCAACACTCATGATTTTGCAAACTATCTTCAACATTTTGTTGGAAATAATTTGATCGTAACAGTTTTTACATTTTGAGCGCATATTTCTCATTTATGGAAAAAAGGAGATATTGTGCTCGCCATGTCCGTCTGTCTGTCTGTCCGTCCGTGACTTCACGTTTTCTGCGGCTAATTGTTTTAGTAGGATTTTTCTCAATTAATAGCTTACGAATTATTATTACGTTTAAATTTTAATCACTTTTTAATAACATATATGCGCGACGTCCACGCTGGACATGAAACATGAATAAAGAAACGAAAAGTGATTTTGGAGGAGAAAAATTTATCAGAAAAAAATGAAATTGAAATGAAAAATATCCAAATTTAAAACTTGAAATGATCAAAAAATCTATTGTAAAAAATATCTGAAATGTATTGGTTTGAAAATTTATTTTTTTGGGGATGTATCGGAAAAATTTATTTATAAAATGTAATTAAATATGTAAAAATGTACTAGAGCGATACTTGAATAGCACATGCGGGCAGTGGGAGCGTCTGATGAGCTGCGACGGTCTCCCAGACGCCCGTAGCGTCCCCGCGCTCAACCGCTACCTCTCCTTGTGGGACCCCGTGGGGGACACGGGACGGGGGGAGCTGCTCCCCACCCTCGACTCCTGCATGAGGGAGACTCCAGAAATTATTAAGGCTTGTCATTACTTTTTGCCATTTTATTATATATTGCATTACTTACTTCCCATATATCGCGTTTTATTAAAAGTAATAATATTGCGTATTACTATCAGTAATAATATTGCGTATTGTAATAAGTAATAATATTGCGTATTATTATTAATAATAATATTGCGTATTATTTTAAGTAATAATATTGCATATTATTACTTAATATAGCACGACTTGTACACGTACAATGAGATGCACGTTGATTTTTAAATGATTCTTCACAAGGCTGATGACCGATGGATGAAGACGAATACGATGATAAATTGATAAGTACTAGTACGATGGATAACTCGAATACCGTGACAATAACATTAATTTGTTATTTTAATATCGTTTGTTACATTCACTTTAGCATGACCTCTGCAGGTTATAGGCGCGGTAGAGGCGGCCATGGAAGAGGCGGACCAGCCAACGCAGCAGCAGCGACGTCTGTGGCAGGAGGTTAGGTTCTCCATTTGGTTAAAATGCAACTTTTGAAATTGGGTTCTTTAAAAATCATAATTGTTAAATTTATGAGAATTTGTGCATGTGACGGTTGATGATCAATTACTTCTTAATGAGTTAATTAATTATATTTATCTAAAATATTGAATTAATTTTTGTGTGCAGATCTGGCTAGAGCTGCAGGTGGCTCTCCGGAGGAAGCTTGATCGCGCCCTCTACAACCAGCTGCTGGACCTGACGCCCCACCTGGACCACGACACCATGGTGAGTACCAGCTGCCATGGTGAGTACCAGCTGTCATGGTGAGTACCAGCTGCCATGGTGAGTACCAGCTGCCATGGAGGTGCCAGCTGCCATGGTGAGTACCAGCTGCCATGGTGAGTACCAGCTGCCATGGTGAGTACCAGCTGCCATGGTGAGTACCAGCTGCAATGGTAAGTACCAGCTGCCATGGTGAGTGCCAGCTGTGTGACCAAATGCCCCATTGGACAACAAATCCACAAGCAAGTACCGCGTTACTCTCACTAGCAATGCTGCACATTATGTGCACTTCAGTAACTAAAGTAAAATCAATATCATAAACACATAGAATATTAAAAATTATAACTCAGTACTCACTGTAGTGAGTGACAGAGAGCGCATTTTCTCGTCGACGAAAACTTGAAGTCACGGACGGACAGACAGACGGACGGACGAACATGACGAGCACAATAGCGCCTTTTTTCCATAAATGAGAAAATGCGCTGAAAACCCTTAATAAATAAATTTTAATGTGTTTAATTACAGACTCCTTCCCTCTTTAGGTGTACGCGTTCTTCCAGGGGTCGCCGCTCGTATCCGTGGCGCTCTGGAGCAACACGACGCGTTCACCCAAGAACGCCGAGCATTCCGTACGTTGCGTTCACCATCAGCGTTCTTTGTTTGAATTCATCATCAGATTCATTCCTCCCTTCATCTTCTTTATTTAATTTCTTGCAAATATTGCACCATAAAACATATTAAATTTTCACCCATTTCGGTTTTGATATTTTTCATGGGCAGCATTTCTTCAATGCCAACAAAACGCCATCCGCCTTATCACCCATTCAATTTTCTTTACAGCGCTACTTAATTAAAAATGCATAAATAAAAATATTTTATATTGTAATATTAGATATAATTTTCATTATTTATTTAAGAATTATTTATATCCCTTAGAATGAAGACAAGAATCTTATTTCTTTCTTAAAATCAACATTCTTGAAGTAATAATTTGCCGATTAATTAATATATTATTACCGTTTATTATCTGAGCCGATTAATTAATTTAAAATTACCCTTTATTCAGAGCCGATTAATTAATTTATTATTAACGCTTATTATCAGAGCCGTTTAATTAATTTAAAATTGATGTTTATTATCAGAGCTATTTAATTAATTTAAAATTAACGTTTATCATCAGATAGAGGAGCTGGGGCTGAGTTACCACCTGCCCCCGAGTGTGGTGCAGAAGGAGTGCGTGGTGAGTGTGGTGAGGACGGAGTATGATCATTACTCCAAGTTCTCCACCTCTTACTCCTGCCCCCCGCCTCCTGTACCTCCTGCCTCACCCATACTCACCTTGTTGGGTGAGTATATATATATCACCGCTCTCTTACTCACCGAACAGCGAATGTTATTCAAGTATGTCAGGGCAGGCCCTGAAGACCGTTGCAGGAAGGAAGGACAAGGCGAACAAGTTTTAATACTTTACTAAGAAAATGAATAAATTCCTAAAGAACTGAAAGTTGCGGATACAGAGAATGGCACAGTGCGTGCTTACCTATCACGTTACTTTAAACTAAATCCAGACTGAAACGGATACGGAATTAACTAAACAAGTCTAAGCTTCGTGTCGGCTCCTCCTTAGTTCAACCACGGACATATCTCACACACGCTGCGCCCAACTCAACTTGAGGTTTGTCAGCTCAACAGAGCGGACGGATTAAAAATTAATTATTGGTCAGAGAATGTATCCACTCCAATACATACTATATATGTTATGTAAAATATCGACGCTGACGCGACGAAACTGGCCCGCGTAGAACTAGCTGGCTCTAGCAGCTTTAGAAGGGAAACAACAAGGGCTCCGAAGGTAACGTGGTCAGCGCCACCGAGCAGGCCCACCGGCGTATAATTATTAATTATTAATTATTAATTATTATTAATTATTAATTATTAATCATTAATTATTAATTATTATTTTACAAAAGGGACGTAGTCAGCATCAGGCTACAGGTGCTGCCGCGCTAGGGAGTTAAAGCAAGCAGACTGTTGGGGCACTGACAAAATATAGACTAATAGGAAAGCATGACTGACTAGCGATATGACTAGCTGGCAAACGGAACGTTTAGTCAGACCTTGAGGCTCACAACTTACATCTAATTCACATCCATACTTGCACCCCACCTAAACCAATTAAACACAAGTGACAATTTCAGTATATAATGACTAAGACAACAATTACAAAAATACAAGCATTCATTCACATGACGCAGCTTACCGGTGCACACCGCAGTACAGCAAAGTAATGCTGACTGGTAACGCAGAGCGTACAAGATGCGCGCGTCTTCAAAGCTCGACAAACAGTGGACTGAAATCTAATATTCAGCGGGAAATCTAAATTAATATTAGATTAGAAATCTAAATAGCGGGAAATCTAATATTCAGCGAGCTTTCCCTCACAACGTATAATGATAATAATTTTCAAAATTATTATAAAATTAAAAAAGTAATATAAATAATCTGTAAGTGATATAAAATCGTTTTATTGTATTATAATTTTTTATTTTATTATTAAGATGTTTTGCTACTGATCAATTTTCGAGTTACTTCAAACTGTAACAAAATTATAATTTTAGTAATGAATTATACATTCGTCATACCTGCCATGTTATTTTAAGGGTGATCTGCATCTCTGTACCCTCAGCATGACCAGCATCTCTGTACCCTCAGCATGACCAGCATCTCTGTACCCTCAGCATGACCAGCATCTCTGTACCCTCAGCATGACCAGNATCCTGTCTCTTATACACATCTAGATGTGTATAAGAGACAGATACTACAAAGTCCCAAATTATACTACAAAGTCCCAAATTATTACAAGTCCCAAATTATACTACAAAGTCTCAAATTATTGGGACTTTGTCCAAATAGCGACGTAGTTTCATCATTGTGTGGGTCATCCTGACTCAGTTTTGCCCGGGAAGAGGTGGTCTTTATTCTACGTGTAAAAAGTGTATTGTTTATTTATATCAATATCATTTATTTCGAGAATATATTTCACTCTAACTCTAACGTACTTTAAGTTAGAGTTAGAGTGCAACATTCGAACCCGATTCCAACCTCTGCATGATTTTTTGATTTTGAGGATTTTTTGGAGATATTCTGTACATTGTACCAAATTTGGAAAGTAATTATTGGAGAACTTATCTCTATGGTTATATGTGGCATTAATATTAATTAATATTTATGCAATAATATATATGGTTCTTTAGATCAAAGTGTTTTTTTAGTAGTTAGTACATTATTTAAAATGACGATAGAACTCATTCATCTTTGATTAATTTATATTCACGTTCACGCAGCCGGCCATACCTGAGGAACGTGAGTAAACCTGAACATAAGGATAGAGCATTAATTTTCATAGATTAATGCCTTTAAGTAATTATATTCTTGAATGAAAAACATAAAAGACTGTTATCATATCATTTGAAAGGAGTTAGCACCTTAATCAAACCTACATTATTACCACAAAAAACTTCAAAGACGATGTCGTATAGTTATGAAATTTTAAGTGCGAATTTTTTATTATTTTAAGATCAAAGTAGAAGCAAACTTGCGTTCGAATTTTTCACTTATTAATAAATAGCAAAATTTAGCTTATAGAAACTCGGGCGTTCAGCTACCAGAAATTTGATTATTGAAAAATTTAATTTAGAGGAAGTTCTAGGTTAAGGAGATCAGTTGTGCATTATTAACAATAGGTAAATGATTTTTAATAATTAATGCAATTTAATAATTTTAATTAAATTGAACACTTCCCGGTCGTGGGGTTGGACCGATGTTTACAGAAGACACCCGCCCCCCGGCCTGCGAGGTAGAACCTGGGGAGCTGAACCTGAGGAAGGTGAGGGTGCAGGGGGGGGTGTGGACCATCAACCTCCTCAAGCTTCCCCCCCAACCCCAGCGTCTGGGGGAGAACTGCACCATCAAACATGGTGACACAGATATTTGTTTATTTATTTATTTAAAATAAAATTCAAATAAATTCAAATGAAACGAAAAATGTTTAAATGAGTTGAAGTTTAATAAATTACGCTATAGATTTCTGTCGTTATTGTGTTTAGAATTGATCAAAAGGATTGGCGCCGTGCTATAAACATCATAATCATGTTCATTGAAATATACATAGAGATAAAAAATGAATTAGTATAAATCATTGCAATCTTCTTATACATCAAATGAAAAAAATATCTTTGAGTTGAGGACGTGGCCAGCACAAGTCTTTATCTGTCACGTCCCCAGCAGTTGAGGACGTGACCAGCACAAGTCTTTACCTGTCACGTCCCCAGCAGTTGAGGACGTGGCCAGCGTAGTCCCCCTGTCCTGGGGCTCGGGGTACCAGGCGCCCCCCGAGGGCGGGGCTCACAAGAGGAAGACGCCGCAGGACCTCGAGGCTGAGACCAAGGAGCGCGAACTGCAGCTGCAGAAACTCGTGCTGCTGTCCATACAGTGTGTGCTGTGTTGTGCTGTGTGCTGCTGTCCATACAGTATGTGCTGTGTGCTGCTGTCCATACAGTATGTGCTGTGTGCTGCTGTCCATACACCGGGGGACTTGTGTTGTGTTGGCTACAGCTGTATGGAGGCCGTTATCCTATCCTTCAGTCACGTTAGTTCTATTCGCTAGGAAAGTTATCCATCCACTCAGATTTGTTCCACAGTTTGATGAATCCACGGTATGGTGAGTACACGACTGTACGAGTGCACGGTATGGTGAGTACACGACTGTACGAGTGCACGGTATGGTGAGTACACGACTGTACGAGTGCACGGTATGGTGAGTACACGACTGTACGAGCGCACGGTATGGTGAGTACACGACTGTACGAGTGCACGGTATGGTGAGTACACATCCTTGATATTTTCAAGGATTGTTAATCTAATTTAAAAATTAAATCCTTCTCCAGACATTTTATTCAAAATCAAAATAATAAACTATTAAGGAATATCCGCAATATCCTTCAGACTCCCCGGTTCGGCGTTCTGGTTCGAGCCTCCGCAGATGGTGCTGTGGAACCACCGTAAGAAGACGTGGACCACAGACTGCTTCCATGACACCAAGTACCTCGAGGACCAACGCATCCTCAAGGTACCACACATGTACACTAAATAAAATCAGTGCGACATAGTCTAAATAGCAATGCACCTTTTTAGCGCATTTTCTCATTTATGGAAAAATGCACTATTGTGCTCGCCATGTCCGTCCGTCCGTCCGTCTGTCTGACCGTCCGTCTGTCTGTCTGTCCATCCGTGACTTCACGTTTTCGTCGACGAGAAAATGCGCTCTCTGTCACTCACTGCAGTGAGTACCGAGTTATATTCTTTTTCTAGTGTGTGTCATCTTGACACAGTTCGGCCTGGCAAAAGTTCGTATCAGTTCTACACTTTGCGCGCGCAGTGCTTAGAAAGTGTCGCTAATTGAACAATATAACAGACTCGTTTTTATTAGATTTTACAGTAAGCCTATTGTGCTCCAGTTTTCAAGAAACAAAAAATTGGTAAAGGGATATAAGAAGTGTATTATTATACAGTTTTTCTCTGGCGAGGTTCGAACCAGCGAGCTGGGGGTGATGGGGCTCGCTATGAGCCGCTTCTCGAACCTCCCCTTCATGAGCTGGCAGCTGCGCCCCTCCCCAGGCGAGACAACTTATATTCCCCATATTCCCCATGTTCCCCTATTCCATATGTTCCCCTATTCCCTATGTTCCCCTGTTCCCCATGTTCCCCTGTTCCCCATGTTCCCCTGTTCCCTCCGTTCCCCTATTCCCCATGCTCCCCTATTCCCTATGTTCCCCTATTCCCTATTTTCCTCAATTTATTGTTCAGTATAACACGCGTAACGACTTCACTGTAGCTCACATTACAACACACAAATAAATTAGTGCAGAAATGTCCTAAAACTCTCTGCTGTGCTGGTGCGGCAGGTGGCGCTGCCGAGACGGTGCAGCTGGTGCTCTCAGGAGCTGTCGTTGTGGCCACCTTCACGATCGCTGTAAGTCTCTGTTTTTTTAAATATACTCATAATTTTACAAGGTATAAGCGAAACTTGATTATAATAAGTTGATGTAAATATTTTCTCAAAGATAGAAAACATTTTTAAGCCCGTTGAAATTCTCATACTGTGATTTTTCACTGTTTTCTTCTCTAATGCCATCGACTTTTCAACATTTACTTATTGCATTTAATTTCAGGATTTACTTGTATCAATTGATTTTAAGATTTAATAATACTAAATAAATATAAAATTTACTTATACAAATTCCATCACTTGCAGCCTGGCAGTGTGTGTCTGTCAGACCTGAAGGATGGCAGCAGGTGTCTGCTGACAGACCTGTACGAGCGGCACATGACCACCTGCGAGCTGGTGCAAGTGCGGGACACTGCATGGATACTTTCAAGAACTGTTAGGATACTTCAGTGTACAATTACACACTGCAGGGCACTGTTGCACACTTCAGTGTACTGTTGCACACTTTAGTATACTATTGCACACTTCAATGTACTGTTGCACACTTCAGTGTACAGTTGCACACCTCAGTGTACAGTTGCACACTTCACGACTGCCTCATCCACGCAACACTAGCGTTACTAATACTGAACGCTAGTTTTAATAATATTAATTAATAATACTGAATATCTCTTCCACGCCGTCAGTTTGTGGCTTGGATGTGGCTGAATATTATCATGAAATTTCTGTTGTAGCGCCCACATGTACCTAGTAGTCCGTACTATAGTTCCTACTAGTAAGTTACTTCGCTCTAGAACTAGTGACCATTGTTAGCATTGACTCAGCTCTTGTACGTTCAAGACCTACAACTACTGTTCTCCTTGTAAGTATTCTGTAAATAGTTTCGTTATGTGTAAGATCTTCACATATGAATATATTCTTATTACGTTACCGTTTTCCTCTTGTATAATAGCGTGATTTTATTCCAAGATGTTGCGTTCTTGTTGAATAAAGTTCTTGATTAGTTACTTAAACTTTCGCTTGCAACAAATATATTCTAGATTTCGGTACAGTAATCTCTCAGCCATCGCAGCTGTTACGTTCTACGTAGACCGCGGCGCGATAGATGAAATCTCCGATCGACTAATGGTAGTTTTTAAATACTTATATTTCAATTACTTACTAAGTTATTATTTATTTAGTTGTTATTTGCCATTCCCACGCCCTTACACTGTGTAGCATGTCCCTGCAGACTCTGCAGCATGTTACATGTCCCTGCAGACTCTGCAGCGTGTTACATGTCCCTGCAGACTCTGCAGCGTGTTACATGTCCCTGCAGACTCTGCAGCGTGTTACATGTCCCTGCAGACTCTGCAGCATGTTACATGTCCCTGCAGACTGCAGCATGTTACATGTCCCTGCAGACTCTGCAGCGTGTTACATGTCCCTGCAGACTCTGCAGCCTGTCTCTTATACACATCTAGATGTGTATAAGAGACAGCCTGCAGCATGTTACATGTCCCTGCAGACTCTGCAGCGTGTTACATGCTGTCTCTTATACACATCTAGATGTGTATAAGAGACAGATGTAACACGCTGCAGAGTCTGCAGGGACATGTAACACGCTGCAGAGTCTGCAGGGACATGTAACATGCTGCAGAGTCTGCAGGGACATGTTAAACGCTGCAGCTGTCTCTTATACACATCTAGATGTGTATAAGAGACAGACTCTGCAGCGTGTTACATGTCCCTGCAGACTCTGCAGCGTGTTACATGTCCCTGCAGACTCTGCAGCATGTAACATGTCCCTGCAGACTCTGCAGCGTGTCACATTTCCCTGCAGACTCTGCAGCGTGTCACATTTCCCTGCAGACTCTGCAGCGTGTTACATGTTCCTGCAGACTCTGCAGCGTTACATGTCCCTCCAGACTCTGCAGCATGTTACATGTCCCTGCAGACTCTGCAGCATGTAACATGTCCCTGCAGACTGCAGCGTGTTACATGTCCCTGCAGACTCTGCAGCGTGTTACATGTCCCTGCAGACTCTGCAGCGTGTTACATGTCCCTGCAGACTCTGCAGCATGTAACATGTCCCTGCAGACTGCAGCGTGTTACATGTCCCTGCAGACTCTGCAGCGTTACATGTCCCTGCAGACTCTGCAGCGTTACATGTCCCTGCAGACTCTGCAGCGTTACATGTCCCTGCAGAATCTGCAGCGTGTTACATGTCCCTGCAGACTCAGCAGCGTTACATGTACTTGCAGACTCTGCAGCATGTTACATGTCCCTGCAGACTCTGCAGCGCTACATGTCCCTGCAGACTCTGCAGCACGTTACATGTCCCTGCAGACTCTGCAGCGTGTTACATGTCCCTGCAGACTCTGCAGCGCGTTACATGTCCCTGCAGACTCTGCAGCGTGTTACATGTCCCTGCAGACTCTGCAGCATGTTACATGTCCCTGCAGACTCTGCAGCATGTTACATGTCCCTGCAGACTCTGCAGAGCTACGGCATCACGCTGTTCCCGGACGCGGACTCGAGCTGCTACATGGAGGGCCTGCCGCTCAAGCACCGCGCCACGGAGGCCCACGCCTACTACTGCATGGCGCTCATGTCTCGGTCAGCTCAAGACAATAATATTACTTTAAATGTAATTTTACTTTGTGTCCACTTTGTGTACTTACTTACTTTACATCGAAATAATTTCCCGTAAATCACAATTATTTATTGATGATTATAGCCGGTCAGCTCAAGACAATAATAAATATTATCTTAACTGCAAGTTTACTTTGTGTTACAATTATATTAATTTACTTTACATCAGAATATTTCCCGTAAATGACAATTATTTATTGATGATTATAGCCGGTCAGCTCAAGACAATAATATTATCTTAAATACAAGTTTACTTTGTGTCTACTTTGTGTACTTACTTACTTTACATCGAAATAATTTCCCGTAAATGACAATTATTTATTGATGATTATAGCCGGTCAGCTCGTCAGGACAATAATATTATTTTAAATTCATGTTTACCGTGTGTTACAATTATATTATCGTTACTCTTACTTTACATAAAAATAATTATCATAAATGACAATTATTTATTGATGAGTATAACGATAACAATAAATTAATCAAGATTATAGCGATAACAATTATTTAATCATGATTATAGCGCTGACAAATAATTAATAATGATTATAGCGCTAATAATTAATTAATAATGATCATTAGGGTAGCGAGCTTCTCGTGGAGTCGCTGGAACCTGCTGGCGGGCGGGCAGCGCCTGGTCTTCCAGATGCAGCTGACAGATGAGCGGACCGGCGACCTGCCCGAACCTGACGAGAACCTGGTGCCGACCTCAGCAGTGCAGTGCTGACCTCAGCAGTGTGGTGCCGACCTCAGCAGTGCAGTGCTGACCTCAGCAGTGTGGTGCCGACCTCAGCAGTGCAGTGCTGACCTCAGCAGTGTGGTGCTGACCTCAGCAGTGTAGTGCTGACCTCAGCAGTGTGGTGCTGACCTCAGCAGTGTGGTGCTGACCTCAGCAGTGTGGTGCTGACCTCAGCAGTGTGATACTGACCTCAGCAGTGCAGTGCTGACCTCAGCAGTGTGGTGCTGACCTCAGCAGTGTGGTGCTGACCTCAGCAGTGTGGTGCTGACCTCAGCAGTGTGGTGCTGACCTCAGCAGTGTGGTGATGACCTCAGCAGTGCAGTGCTGAGGTCATCGTATGTTTCTGTTCACCACACTCCGCGTTGTTTCAACTATCGTTGTTGCCAGCGAAATTAATATTTTTTCATAATTTCGTTGATTTTTCTTCAATTATCTGCATTTAATACATTGAATTGAATTGGGTTAGTAGCCTCCATGAGTTCTTGCCGAATTTATTCATTGAATTCGACACTTAATATTTATATATATTCATAATTATCGTAAAGATTGATTGATGCCTAATAAGAGCAGTAGTAAGTATCGTGAATAATAATAGAAAAACTGATCGTCATTTCTGTTTAATTATCAATATAAACAGTAACTATGAATATTGAATTAAATTTATCAATTGAATTAATTAGTAAACTAGGAATTCGTGACATCCCCCAGCCGCTGGTGCTGGTCACCCCCACGGGTGCCTGGGTGACCGAGAGCTGCGAGCTCTCCCAGACCTTTTCCCCCACCCCCAAGCACCCAGACAAGGTGGGGACATAGTGGGGCACCCAGGCTTTCTCCCCCACCCCCAAGCACCCAGACAAGGTGGGGACATAGTGGGGCACCCAGACCTTCTCCCCCACCCCCAAACACCCAGACAAGGTGGGGACATAGTGGGGTAAAAGGTGGGTCCAAGCCGTCACCCTTGACCCAGTTATCATGCAGTGGGACCTCATCAATGTGTTTATTAATTAGCATGAATTTATTTAAATTATTTTGTTGACACAGAAACCATGAAGAACGATAAATATTCTCTGAAAATATAATGGTAAATTTCAAATCATTTTCAATATCATCATTATGAATAACGAAACCGTAAATATGACTATTGAAAAAAAATTATATTATTCACCAATTTACTAAATTATATATCGTCCAAACATCGTTCAATATCGGTCTGCAGGCTCTTATATATAAATCATGCAATGGGTGCAGGGAGACTAACCGATGAACAATCATGAAAAACTGCGATCAGATATTAATAACTAAATAATAATTTGTTAATACATGAATAGTATTGAAATTTTACATTAAAATCTCATCGATGATGAACGGCACAGAAGTTCAGAAGCATCGTTGAGGAGGTTTCAATAAGTGAGTACTTAATTTTAAACTTTCAATATCATTAATTGCAGAACTGAAGAACTTCAACTGTTTGCAGAACAATCTATGTTGAAGTTAATGGTGCCCCAGCTTCTCAGAGGATTTAGAAGCTCAAATAATAATAATTAATAATGTTATTATTAATTAATAACGGTACCCAAGACAAAGTGAAATCAGTTGACCCACATCAATGCTGGAAGTCGAAGTTTCCATAAAGACATCGGTATAAAAAACTGAGAAATACATAATAATATCGTTATACTGTATTATCATTTAACAATATCGTTATAATATCACTTAATAAAATCGTTAAAAAATAAGCTAAAATATCGTTATAATATCACTTAATAAAATCGTAAGTTCTTAATATCGGCGTGTTTCGTCACAGTCAACTTCATAGATTTGACTTTCGGGCCAAGATTACGCACAGCGACAAGTGATTAATCATTACCTTGATTATTACAAATATTTATCGTTATTACGGTTGTGATTATTAAGTTATGATTATTAAGATAGAAATTATTGTTATCGAAATTACAAAGGAAGTTTTTTTGATCAGTTCTCGGCAGATCTGCTGCACATGGCGGAGCTGGAGGGCGGACCGAGGCTGAAGACAGCCATGCAGCTCATGCCCACACTGCTTACCCACACCATCACCCACATGCTGGCACTGTCAGCAGTCCTGTCACACTGCTGAACTGTCAGCAGTCCTGTCACACTGCTGAACTGTCAGCAGTCCTGTCACACTGCTGAATCGTCATTCGCGTCAACGCTATCTTTTCATTTCGCTAATCGTTACACAATTTGCATTTTCACTTCTGATTTTCAGTTATTATTCGTTTTTTTAATATCGTTTCAGAGGAACTGTAGCATTATTCAAAATATTAAATAGAAACGGAGCCAGTTCAGAACTCTTTTCATCCGTCACAAAAATCAAACTTATGTAAGGAGGGGCCTTGCCACCATTGGCGCGTTAACAAAGGTTAGGAAGAAGGTTCATGTTTTGCGAAGTGTTCCGTGGTACTCGTATAACTACTTGTTACCCGCTCACGACATCTGCTTCCAGGCGTCGTAGGGCGGCTGGTAGCTCACGACATCTGCCACCAGGCGTCGTAGGGCGGCTGGTAGCTCACGACATCTATTCCAGGCGTCGTAGGGCGGCTGGTAGCTCACGACATCTGCTTCCAGGCGTCGTAGGGCGGCTCGTATCTGCTGTAGAGCGGCAGTTCGTCCTCCTCTTCCGTGCTGAGCGGCCCGTACCTCTGCTGCGTGAACCTGCAAACCAACAAACTAGTCCGCATTTGTAAAATAATATAGTTTGTGCCTAAAATTATGATAATTCAATCTTAAGAATTTCTTTTTATACGAAACAAAATGAGAGGCCAAAATCTTTCATTTTTGAAAGGAGAAGTTTTTTCGAAAAATACGTCGATGACGGACACCTGTTGATAATATATCGAGCTTGCAGGTCAAAATATTTTCGACGAATGCATTGCTGAATAAGTCAGACAAATTCAGTGAACTTTCGTGTTGCGTCATAGATGAAATGATGGCAAATTTAAAAGAAATAGCGAGGGTTTCCCTGATTATGTATTTATATTGCTTACAAGTGCGATGACAAGAGAAAATCGATCCACATATAATAAGTTTATGCACAGCATCTATCTTTGGAGGTAAAAATGGGATGAACAGCAAAATACAATATGAAATGATGAATGAATAATAGTCTATTTTTCCGTGGTTGAAAATATCTGTTGAATGCGGCTGAAAAAAATAGCGCATAAATGGCGTCAAGTAATTAGTTACTCAATTAATTAAAAGAATTAAATTCCTCTAAACGATAGTTAAATTAATATTTATATTGGTTTGTACTAACGAGAGTTTTTTGCAGTAGACCCCGATGATGGTGACGATGGTGATGAGGGTGATGAGGATGATGGCGATGGTGGCCATCATGTCAGACGCTTTCTTATTTTTTGACCTGTCAAAGAAGCTGAATTTATTAAATATTCTTAAAAAAATTATTAACCTCGAAATTAAATGACTTGAAAAATTTGTTGTAAATATGTAAATAAAAATTAGTTGTAAAAAAGTGGTTTGAGGATTATAAGAAATGAAAAAGTTTGAATCATTCGAATTTGATTCAAGAAAAATTAATTGAACGGAAATGGGCAAACTATTTTTATTCTATCAAAAGGTTAACAAGAAAAAAAAAGAAATCAAGCTCAAACTTTAAGACCTTATAAAATATAAAGTTAAACTTTATTATGGTGGATTTACGACGGAAAACTAATGGTTATTATTCTTGGTGAGGTAAAATAATGATTTCATGTGCCAAACCGCTTCTCTGCTGGAATAATTCAACGTGAATTATTATTAATTATTTACATATAATACATATTATGAAGACATCATATAAAGTTATAGAATCTTTCGAATCTCACATTAAATTAATTCGTTATCCAAAATTTGCGCTTCCAATTCACTTAATTGTAGCCACAGCACAAATTCTAATGCGTTTCTTATTCGTTTAAAATTTTTGGAAATTTCAGTTATGAGTTATAGCAACCACTCTTGTTGTCCTATCTATATAATGCAATAACTAATAATAATCTAATATATTACGTATTATTAATTGAATTTTATTATTATTATTAGATTGACTTCTAATAATTACTCATATTTTAGTTTTTTTTCAATACTCACTTATGGGACTTGACTCCCCGATTCTGATTCGCATCCTTCGCGTTTTTGACATCGTTTCTACCTTCTTCGCTTTTTGGATGTGCTTCTTTATTTCGATTTCTCGTTTTCATTAAAACTTTCTCGGCATTCTTGGCAGCCTCTGATATGTCGAAGCTCATTTGAGAATTAAAAACCTCTTTCTGCTTAGGCTTTGGAGCGTTTAAACTTTCTTTTTGAATTACTTTGTGATTCAATGAAAAATCGGGTTTATTTGTCACGGAAAACGAAGAACTTTTTCCATTGGGCACTGGGCTTTTTATTACGGGAATGGTTGGAGTTTTTTCTTCAAGAACAGGACTTTTAATGACAGGGACAATAGGGCTCTTTCCTTGAGGAACAGGACTTTTAATGTCAGATAGAGTAGGATTTTTACTGCCGGGTAAATAAGTTGGGCTTATAATTTCCGGCCCTGGACTTTTGGTGACAAGCATGGGTGACGTTTTGCCCAAAGCCAAATGGTTATTTTCAAGACTCGTTGCTTCTGCCACAGCTTCTTCTATTTTCGAATCGGTTTCCGAGTTGGTATTGGATTTTTTTGAAGCTTTACTTGCAGTTCTTCCATTTAATTTAGGATGTTTTGATTCACCATTTATTGAATTGAAATTTTCACCGTTTGATTCTCCCTTTTGTTCCCTCAATTTTGGATGTAAATTATTGTTAACTGATGGAACATTGTTAGTATTTTGAGGACTTGAATGTACAATATTGCTTGAGTCGTGATTTCTTGACTCAGGGTCATTTTTTGGATGAGTTGCGCCACCTCTCAACTTGGGGTGAACTTTCTGTTTAGACTGAGAACTCATGTTGCCGTTAGCCTCAGGTGCAGAGATGTGAGGCCTGCTTTCCAATGTAACGGGTGACGATGAAACATCTACAACTCCTACGTTATCAAGAACAGGATTTGAACCATGCGATAGGTGTTCCTCGGAAGACATCGCATTTTTCGCAGCTGAGATATCAGGATTCAGTTGTGGGAACATAGCCAAAGGATTTTTTCGCTCAACTGTTTCTGGCAGCAATTTACTGGTTTCCTTTACTCTTTTTGTACCACCTTGTTTATTAGTAATCGCATCACCGCCCCTTAACGCGTGCGTAGGATGTGCTACCTTTTGACTTACGATTTTGCTGTTCTGATCTCCGATTGCCCCAGTCTCCTTAACTGTAACTTTTTGAACCTGTTTTTGTTCGTCCTCTGCTGGAAACTCTTGAACTACATCATGTAATGAAGTTTTTTCATTGTTTTTGGCTGCAGACTGTGGAATGTGGTCCTGGTTAGGTGACACGCTACCAGCTGGATTATCTGATTGTTGCTGATTAAACGGATTCACTGATTTTTGGTAGTCAGGTTGATTAGGCAAATCTTGGTAATTTTCGAGATTTTCTCCTACGGTATTCAATGTTTCTTTGATAGATGATTGCTCTCTATCTCCCTCGGAATATGTATCTTGTTTTCCCGTCTTTTCGACCGAGTCTTTGTTTTCCGAGAGTTCAACAGAAGATCCTTCAACGTTCTGTGATGCAGAAATTTCTTGGTCCATCGATAAGGACATGTAATTTTTACCTGTCTGTTGCTCAGTATGGATCTTCTCTGATGGACGATCATCACTTACAGTCAATGGAACATTGTTTTTACTTGCAGGTAAACGTTCCACTAAAGGTCCCGTTGTCTCTTCGTTATCAATTTCGGCTGTTTTTTCCAGTCCTTTCTGGTCATCTGAAGGAGCCTCTTGTGTTTCTGTGATTTTCAAAGCTGCCAAACCTTTCTCTTCTGCACTTACGCTTTCTAATTTTTGCAAACTAATCACAGCTTCTTCGTTCATCTCCGCTTCGTCCAATTCTTCAAAACTTGTGGCCTCTCTTCCAATAATATTTTCCGTTTTGGATCCATCCATACGACTGCCATGGGGGTCGTTTCCTTTAACATGATTTTTAGAATTAGAAGTCAAAATTTGTATTTTGTTGTTGACATCAGGAGATATTCGTGCCTCGGTTGACATGTCTTGCCCTCTTGACCCCTCAAGAGGTATAGGTGCAGGGACAACACTAATGTCTTGCCCTCTTGACCCCTCAAGAGGGATAGGTGTATGAACAACACTAGGCAAGGCTCTTGAATAATGGTCCTTACCCGAGGCTATCTGGGGCGCTAGGAAGATGCAAAAACATTCATAAGGATCCATTTGTCTGATCCAAATTTGTATCATAAACATATACAATTCTACATTAAATTTACTGTTGAAATACATATATTCGATAAAGATATTATAGACTTTTTCATGCTCGGTAAGAATTCGTAGGATAAATTTGAAGATATAGGCACCCCATTAATGGAATTTATTTGGTTGTTTCATTAATCTTTGTTTGAATTCAGCTCAAAAATAATAACGCATGTTATCTATCCACTAAATTACTGCGGTGAAATTTCACTTGAGATTATCTATAATCTATAATTAATTATAGATTAATGATTATATAATAGAATAGATTACCTTTAATTGGAGATGAGGCAGCAAATGTAGCCACTGCGAGCCATGACAAGACTAATGTTGGCCTGAGTCTTATCATTGTTCATAAGAAATAAGTTCATGTACTAGAACAATATCCTCCTAATGTTAACTTATTTGTGGAATATCAATTTTTTATAAAGGATTTCATGAAAATCAGTTAATTAATCCAATTATCGCATCCTACTTAGGAAATTTAATCGAATATAAACAATGAATTCAATAACTATATAGTTTTGTATCCATTAGAAAAGTTATTACTCCAACTTCATCATTTATGTGGCTTACTTTAAATTAAACTCGACATTTGTTGGAACAAGCAAACACGGAAAAGAGAAAATGCAAGAAGAAATAATTTATTTATTTTAGATTTTAAAACACTTTTTAGATTATATTAAGGTTGATTATGTAGCTTCACTCAAATAATGATATTAATTAACATTAAACTTATAAATTGCGTTTTATCTTTTACTTGAACTTGAGTTCACCATCAACCACACGCTCGGAAGTAACAAACATTATGTCGATATTATCTTCTTTATTGGGACTATCAATTTTTCTCTATTGGTTTATATCATATAATCAGTTTGCACAAATAACAATGTACGTTGTAAAAGAATTGTACGAAACTATTTAATAAGTGTGCGAATTCTGCTAAAACGGAACCTTGACCGCACTAAATGTTTGCGGTCGACAGTGAACGCCACAACTGTTGTATTTGAGCAGTCATGGTGTTCATTGGCCGTAATCATCTGAAGTACACTTATCTGACTGATTATAAGAATCTCGTATACGGACACTAACACTTGAGCTGCGACACTTGACTCTGGCAACGACTTGGGGTTGACAGCTGTCGCCACGAACTGAACACTTGGGCTCATCATCAGGCAGTCAGACAGACGGGATGTTTTGCATGACGTCTGCAGGGTCGGTAGTTAGGTGAAGATGAAGTTGCTGTAAAAAATATATTTGACAACGATTATGACATGTATTCAACCCTAATTGATATGAGATAATAGATAATAAGAATAGAATAATCGCTAATTTTGATTATTCTATCGCCTGATTATCACGTAGACTAAAGACCTGATTCTGCGATCATGAAAATCAGGATCGTGACAAGTCACCGAATGCAAACACAAAGAACTACATCAGAAAGAAAGTATGAAGTGTCTTTAGTCTACGAGTAAGAGTGCGCTGACAAATCAGTCTTTAAGTAATTTCATATTACATTTTGATTAAATTTTAGAGTTTGTTTTCACATGTACGTTAATAATAAAGAGTGATTCAGCTGTGGTTTTTTTTATGGCATGTGTACCTTTTTCTTCAATGATCCCAGGCAGAAGGTGCAGACAGGAATTCGTTCCGCTGATGGCAGGTTGTCTGTTGATGGTGTGGACAAACATGGCTGCAGAGAAGTGCCTGTAATCATATATTTACTGTCAGTTTTACCTAAAAGAATTATAGGAAAATCAAACTATTTGAATGTAAGCTTCTCCTCAGTTTAATAATTTGTTTAGAGATCTCGTTTATTTTAGTCAGACGACTTGAGAAAACGATGTCTATGTCTCAAGGTTGTTCACATTTGTAAGCGACTAACCCGCCAGCAGTAGTGTTGCCAGATGACTGATGTGCAATTTATGTGTCCCATGATTGTTCACATTTGTGAACAACTTACCTGTCAGCAGCAGTGTCGCCCGATGACTGATGTTCGAAGACTATGTCTCAAGATTATTCACATTTGTAAACGACTTGTTCGTCACTAGTTGTATTTCCAGATAACTGATGTGCGATGTCTACGTCTCAGGATTGCTCATATTTGTGAACGACTTACCCGTCAGAAGCTGTGTTTCCTAAAACTGATGTACGATGTCTTTGTCTCAAAATTATTTATTTTTATTAATGACCCACACGCCAGCAGTTGTGTTGCTATATCACTGATGTACGATGTCTATGCCTAAAGATTGTACACATTCGGGAACGGCTTACCCGCCAGCAGTTGTGTTGCCAAATGACTGATGTACGACGTTGCCAGTCGCAATGTTTCGATCTTGGAGAGCTTTCGGTCGGCAGGCTCGGTGGGGATGAGCGACCGCAGCGCCACGAACGCGCTGTTCACACTACTCGGGGGTCACAGACGGGAAAAGCATCTTAAGGGGACCGTTATGGCTCCTTGTAATTTCGCAGTAACTTTAATTATGACTCATTTTATGTGATACATCATTTGGTAGTTATTTTTGAGAATGAGGGTTCACACGGCTAGCGATGGTTTTTTAACCTCTCCTGGGTTTACGTCTTGGACAAATTAACGGCCGGACTCGCGGCCGGTCTCACGGCCAATTTCCAAATTCAATGATCAAGGAATATCTCTAAAACTAATGAACTCAACTCGATGAAACTTAGTACACGTATCCACTAGGTCCTAACGATAATGTTTAACTCGTGAAAATTGTTAAAATTTTGCCATCGTTTGTTTTTGCCATAGTTAAATGGCAATACGGGCCAAAATTCACAGTGATCAAGTAATTTCTTCAAAACTACTGAACAGATTCGAACGAAATTCGAATTTGTAGTCCTAACTACCGAACGGTAATGTTTAGCTCGTGAAAATTTTTTCGATTGTGCCTTCGTTCGCGAGTTTTTAGCGCATTTTCTCATTTATGAAATAAATGCACTATTGTGCTCGCCATGTCCGTCTGTCCGTCCGTGACTTCATGTTTTCGTCGACGAGAAAATGCGCTCTTTGTCACTCACTGCAGTGAGTACTGAGTTATATTTTTTTCATTTCACCTTCATTCGTGATTTAAACAGCAATACGTGTTTAAATTCGCAGTAATCAAGACATTTTTTCCAAACTGCTGAATAGATTTGAACGAAACTTAGTATTTATATACCTAACCTCAGCAACGGTGATGTTTAGCTCGTTAAATTTTTTTTCGTTTTGCCTTCGTTTGCGAGTTATACGGCTATACGTATACGGCTCTTGGTTAAAACCGGCCGGTAGAAAAGCCGGTCGTTCCTCCTATATCTGTATAACACGCGAACGAAAGCAAAATAAAAAAATGTTCACGAGCTAAACATCACCGTTAAGAGGTTAGGTAATTATATACAAAGTTTCGTTGAAATCTGTTCTGTAGTTTAGAATAAATTTCTTGATCGCCGCGAATTTAAGTGACAAATTACCCGGCGATACGGGCCGAATATAAGGAAGTGTGAAATCAAGAATGACGGTGAAATGAGGAAAAAACTCGCAAACGAAGGTGAAATCGAAAAAAATTTATAAGCTACAAAATCGCCGTTTGGTAGTTAGGAATGTATATTCATAAATTCGTTCAAATCTTTTCAATAGTTTGGAAGAAATTCTTTGATCACTGCGAATTTCGGCCTGTTTCGCAATATACGCGTAACTCACGAATGAAAGCGAAATTTAAAAAAAATTACGAGCTAAACATCACCGTTAGGTTCTGATGAATACATGTTCCAATTTCCACAGAGCTGCGTTCATTAGTTTGGGAGATATTGCTTGATAATTAAATTTGGAGATTGGTCGTGAGACCGGCCACGAGTCCGGCCGTAAATTCGCCCGAGACGTCCTAGGTTTCTAATGCTGAAACAGTTAAAATAGCTGAAAAATATATTGGTTCACTAAATGGGGTTCTATTTGTGAAATACAGATTTGTGTTTAACCTTTCTCTTTCAAAATTGCAGCGTACTAAATTTCAAGAAAGAGGCTTATGTCTGTGGGGGGCGCTAGAAATTCATTAGGGAGCCAAATTGGGGGCGCCAGCCTGAAAAAGTTTGGGAACCACTGGATATATAGAATTATTACTATTGGTTTCAAATTAAGTTGGCATTCCTGGTTCATAAATCATGGTTCATTAAAAGGAAAACCAGCTCGTTTATAAATTGATCGAACCCTCCCTCCACCAACCTGTGAGTCCTGTCCCTCTCTCGGGCGTTGGCGTGGGTCCTTTGCTTCACCCCTCCGCCTGACGCGTCCCTAGCTCCACAGAGGTCGGTGGTACTATCACAATTCCTTAGTTTCTCTGACATTTTTGCTGTGCCTTCGATATTATGTCCCCTAATTTCATCACTTATTTGACAAGTCAGTTCGGTTTTCGTTTCATAACAAGGTTGCCGAACTAGTTCCTCAATCTCGGTTCCTATCTCTACTTTGGAATCCTCGACAACGCTAAGCGGTTCAAGGATCGGAAACGGTATTCCTGAAGTAGTAGTGGGGTCTGAAATTTCTTCATATGATGGAGGCACATCCTGGAGTGGAAGGGTATATTCAGGCGCCATTGATTCTCGCGATCCAACTGCTGCAGACGAACTCCCGTAAATCGACGTTGAAAATATCGAAGACAACACCGGATCCGATGAATATTCTTGTGGACTTGATGACAGAGGATAGAAGGAGAAATTGATGTACGAAGCTTGCATAGGTAGAATAGGGGAGCTTAGTAACGAGGAATCCATTAATGAAGGATAATTCGGAGCTATACCTTCAGGGAAGTGATTGGATTCGCAATCATGAAGTAATGGGTAATTGAAAGTGTCCAAGTTATGATTTTGGTTGCCGGAAATTCTGCACGTGTTCGCTGGAAAAGAAGGAGCACATGGGCGTAAAAAATCCATCGATTCTTCAGAGACGGAATTCCATTCTGGGGCAATAGTGGTTTTCGGGATAATTTTAGTAGCCGTTGACTCCCATGAGCATGGAGCACCAAAACAATCATTGTTCCTATTACTTGTTATCAAACTCGTGTTATCAATTGGGATTATTCTTGAAGTTACACGCAGTTCGTCGAAGGTGGCTGTCGGTGCGCCTTCTATCTTCAAATCCGGTTCAATTTTTTTCGATAATTTAGAGTTTCTTTGCAACTGGTCTGCTCGTAATAAGTTTTCTTTGGTACCATCAACCTTGCTGGTCGCATGTGTCAAATGCTCGCACGATGTCGACTCAGGATCTTTTTTGCTGAGTAAACTAACTTTACTTCTAGATTTTGTCAATGCTTTTGTTGCTCGTTGCTTTTCGGACACATTTGCAAATTTTCTGCTTTTTTGCGATGTCCTTCTTGGCTTTAGGATCCGATTTGATCCTTTCATGAGTTTGGTCGGATTGGCCATTGTTTGGCATAAGTTTTCGAAAAAATTGTATGCAAGTAAAATCTAATTAAATTCTAGGGCATTTCCCGGTCTCTGTTCGCTTAGTAAAAGTACGTGTGTTAGCCCATCCAATGAGAGTTATTATGAATACAATGTAACTTCATAAACACGTCGCGAACTATTATGTTGATGAGTTTTTATAAAAAACAGTATTTTAAAACTTCCTTTCAGCGATAGAACATTTCACAAGAATGTTGTATTCTCTATTCCGTGTTTTCTTATGTACACTTTAATTAATTTAATTTTCAGATAAAAATGTTCAGTCTCGACGCACAAGCCTCATAGTAAAGGCCGTGGCCGTTAATGGAATCATTAATTAAATAAAAGTGAAATAAATCTATATCATCACAGTTAGTTGTAGGGTGAACCTCACCATCACATTTCCCCTCAGTTTGAGGACGGACTGTTCGTATCAGTGATACCGGCTACCTAGACCAGCACAAGACCCCGACTGTGTACCCAGCAAGTCCCCACAGCTTGGGTGCGAGCGAGGGGAAGAATATGTGTTGGGGAAGGAGGGGAGGTGGGGGAGCAAACTCTTCCTCTCGTAGCAGATTATTATTTATATATATTATTAGATTAAGCAGATTATTGTTTAAAATATATTATTTAAATAGTCGGGATTTATAAGGTTATGTTGTGTAATTGGTGTGAATTTAATTGGGAGGGAAGAATAGAGTGTTAACATGTTGCGGTGGAAGGAACGCAGAGGGAGGGAGACGGGGAGCAGACGGGGTGAGGGTAGACAGTGAGGGTATTCCCTTGATGATGATGAGCTCCAGACACTCTCCCTCCATCCCCTCTCTCTCCATCCCCTCTCTTCCCCTCTCCTGTCCTTCTTGCTCCTCGTCGTCACCGTATTCCTTTCATACTTGTGTCCTTTCTCTTATTCTGGTACCTCCTTCAACTTTCAAAATTTCGGGGCCGAAATTATGACATTAATTAAAAATTGGTTAACGCTGAAATTTTGTCAAAGTTGCAACGCTTTCCTTCCAGCAATGCAATTTGCTTCAATTTTAATTTTGAGATTTATTACAGGAAAAAAATTATATATATATATTATATACGTATAATATAATTTTATTATACGTATAAAATAAAATTATATTATACTTCTGGACAAGCATTTCAATTGTAACATGATGTAGAAAATGTATAATTGTGCAAATCACTTTGCTGATCACAATTCCCGAAAGAAAAAAAAAGTGTAAACTCGGTAATAAAGCGAGGATTTCTATAATGATCGAATTTTCCTCCCGTCAAAGTGAGATGAAACTCACTGTGATCTTAGTTTTATCCTAACTAACCTCAGACTCCAAATCTGCGTTCATCAGCTTCAGTTTCACGAAGCTCGTACGTCTGCAATACTTCCCAGTGATTGGTTGCACATGTTAGAGTAACGCGAGGCGATTGGCACATGGATTCATTGTGTCTCAATCCTGCAACCTCTGCCACTCTGTCTGCTGGGTTTTATACTCTGCCCGAGGTGGGCAACCCCATGGTTCAACCATGGGCAACCCTTCCTAGGTTGCCTGAGGTGGGCAACACCTCCTAGGTTGCTTGAGGTGTGCAACCCCTCCTAGGTTGCACGAGGTGGGCAACACCTCCTAGATTGCCTGAGGTGTGCAACACCTCCTAGGTTGCCTGAGGTGGGCAACACCTCCTAGGTTGCCTGAGGTGTGCAACACCTCCTAGGTTGCCTGAGGTAGGCAACACCTCCTAGGTTGCTTGAGGTGTGCAACACCTCCTAGGTTGCCTGAAGTGGGCAACACCTCCTAGGTTGCCTGAGGTGTGCAACATCTCCTAGGTTGCCTGAGGTGGGCAACCCCTCCTAGGTTGCTTGAGGTGTGCAACACCTCCTAGGTTGCTGGAGGTGAGTAACCCCCAACCCCGCTTCGCATTGCGGTGTTTTCGTCACATTAGTCACCCGAACGTCTCCCCTTCTGGCGGGGAGTAAGTTCTCTTTATTCATAGGAGCGTTTTTTACACGCCCTAAATTGCTTTAGAACGACCTAGCTGCTCTCTCGTGGAAGTCTTTGTCTCCAGTGCAGTTGCCTGCTGTACCTGTGACAACATCGTGGTCTTACGAACTTATTAAAATAAGTTTAGACTCGTTCATTTAATAAACCATTGGTTACGTTGTTGCTTTTAAGGTTTCAAATCTTCAAGGATTGATACAGATACGTAAAAAATACATGAAAAATACAACCTATACGATACGCCCAAAAACAATACAAAAATTACAAAATAGATACAAAATACAGATAGGCTTAGTGAGATCTAATCACACATTGCTCACACAAGATCACTATAATACAGCGGAAAGACAAGTTGTATGATTTACGATGAGTGCAAATATATATGGTATCAATAGCTGCACAGGAACTTGGTTAAAAAGTAGCGTACATTCAAGTCATGTGTGATAGCTGCAAGCTCACACGGCGACGACTGTATGAAAATACGACTACCAGCTGCATGAAGGATCAGGTTCTGATGAGAAGCAGCTTAACATATTCAGTGCAGCAGCAACGTCAAGCAGTTCAATGTGTTCTTACGAATGCAATTACTATTACTCCAAAATTATTATTATTAAAAATAATAAATTATTACTCATAATTGAGTGAGTTGATGTCATTTTTTCTCAGGTAATAAGTAATAACTTTTCAATTTCAACACCAAAAGTGCAATTGCTGAAAATGAATGAATTATGAAAATCTGCAGTGTAAATTCGACTTTTATGATTCGAAAAAGGATCGGTTTAAAACATATAGTACATGATTTCTCTACTATAACCTTCCAGCTTAAATTTCAATGTAATCCTATTGACCTATTATTTTTTATCTCGAATATTTTTTAGCGCATTTTCTCATTTATGGAAAAAATGCACTATTGTGCTCGCCATGTCCGTCCGTCCGTCTGTCCGTCCGTCTGTCCGTCCGTCCGTCCGTGACCTCAAGTTTTCGTCGACGAGAAAATGCGCTCTCTGTCACTCACTGCAGTGAGTACTGAGTTATATTTTTTCATTCAGTAACCAACAACAAAATTGTCTATTTAAGCTTTTAACCGAGCAAGCGAACAGTAACTTCCAAGTCACCGCGTACATGCCACTCTCTTTGCTCTTCATGCGATGATGCTCTTCTCGACCACATGCCCCTCTCTTTGCTCTCCATGTGATGACGCTCTTCTCGACCACATGCCACTCTCTTTGCTCTTCATGCGATGATGCTCCTCTCGACCACATGCCACTCTCTTTGCTCTTCATGCGATGATGCTCTTCTCGACCACATGCCACTCTCTTTGCTCTCCATGCGATGATGCTCCTCTCGACCACATGCCACTCTCTTTGCTCTCCATGCGATGATGCTCTTCTCGACCACATGCCACTCTCTTTGCTCTCCATGCGATGATGCTCTTCTCGGCCACATGCCACTCTCTTTGCTCTTCATGCGATGTTGCTCTTCTCGACCACGTTGGCCGTATGTGCTGCTGGCGCTGAATAAAACATATCCGTCAGTAAGAACATTTTTATCGAGGAGTGCATGTCACTGATGTTGTTTTCACGAGTCCATGAGCCACCGTCGCTAAACAATTGTAAATAATGTCGTGTGACAAAAGCTAGATAATGATGTCATGTGGAAAAAATATTAACTTTTTCTCAGTGGATTTCAAGTCGATTTCATGTCCTTAGATTCAAATGCAAATACCGACGGCCAATTTTCTTGTGGTCCTGCCGTATGGTATTAACTCGTTTATTTACACAAAACATTCCATCCCTCTTATGGTCGATAGCAGGTTTCATCCTAGCAACCTATATCCTAAAGCTTGACTGAGTGTTTTTTGTTGCTTACATGTAACGTTTTGCATGACTGATTTTGCTTGTTAATGAGGTATAGATGTGTTATCAATTTTGAAATTTAAGTCGTCCGACTGGCGATCCTTATTATCATTATTGCCGTTCTTTATCGTCGTACTCTTGGGAGGTGGTGGCACGCACAGCTGATTCATCACGGTGAGAAACGGGCCTCGGATTGAGGCATTTTACCGATTATTTATGATCTTTATGGAATAGTTAGTATCCAATAAATAGCCGGTCGAAGAAGGTTCTTTTGGCTTCATAAGTACAGTTGAATACCGCACCGTGTGTATACCTTGCTTTAGTTCCGTCTATAACTCAACTTGTACTTATATGACGATCAATTTGATGCACTGTTAAATGAACTACACATAAGTTACTTTATGAGGATCCCATCACTTGATTTGAGCGATTAGCCTTAGCTCAGTTTACGAGTGAATTTGTGTAAATTTTCACCAATATCCGTAAAGTGATATAATTCACAGGTAAATCAGAAAGTATTCGGAGTATCCGGATACTTGCTATGTTCACACAGTCCTCTGAAAAGAATGCATGTGCATAAGTTGCAAAAAAAATATATGCATACATATATTATACTGGTCTCATGCAAACCAAAAACCTCTACTCCAAAACGCCAAAATACATATCATATCCTTACTCGTCAATTTGCCTGCATAAAAATATTTAAATGTATTTTTTTGTTGAATATTATTATTTTATTTGCTATAGCTCACGCTGTGAGTTATCGTCTGGCGTCGCGCGGCGAGGTCGTAAATCGCGTTGGCTTCCCTCTAGCACAACATTCTGTGCGGCGAGGGCGGCTCTCAGCCCTCAGCAAATATGTTCACACACGCACACGGAACGAGTATCGGGTGCTGCAAAACTCATCAAGACATTCGAGAGGGGGCCGGGGCAACGGAGAAGCAGCGACGTTCGGAATTTATATAATTAAGGTAACATGTAAGAATTAATTTGAAATTGAATATAATAATTTCAATATGTGAAAATAAACTGAACTGAAATAGATAAAATATCCAGGTCAGTCTTCTAATTATTTTTTCCGTTGTTCATGTTATCAAAACATCGCCAAGCTAAGATCAGTTTAATGCTGTTTGCTTCAATACGACAATCGTTAGTATAATTAGTGTAATTATTTACCATATTTATTTATTATCAGGTGAGCTTATGACAAAAAAGTTACAGAAGCATAATAGATAATTATACTCATGATTATACTGAACGTGGCGACTGTCGTAGTCACTCTGTGGCTTGTACCTAGTAGGTAGTACCGTAGGAGTAGTTTATCGGTGGTATGTTTATATGCACCTTATCAGAGAGATTACGCAGCAAGGAAGTTGACGGTTGTTCGAAGTGCTGCTTAGGTAGTCTATTGCTATTCAGTGCCCGTTGCAGATGTTAGGTATGTGCTGAAGAAAAACTCTATTTTTTTAGAATACTCACTGTACTCCGTAGAATTCCGTTTAGTTGAAAAGTTAAAACATAACAGTTGTTTCTTGTGTGACTCGTGTTTACGATAAAGAAATACGCCGCGTTTGGTCAATTCTTCACGTTCAACTTCAAGCCGGCAGTCAATTGTTATGGTTAAGTTTCTCCTGCCAAGGTTATAAAAAGTACATTTGTAGTACTGTATATAAACTTCATTGCGTGAAATCAAATTGTCAACCTTTAGATAACAGATAGCATTAGGGTCAACAGTCTAGGGATAGCACTTATTTATTGTAGACCTTGTGCGCAATTTTTTAATTTCTGCTGGCTCAATCGATTGCCTCAACCCTCAATGATCAATCAAATCAATGCCTCAACGGGCTGAGGCTCAACTGGTACTGGCTACTGCCTAGTGAGCATAGTGGCAAACCAGTGTGAATTCATAGAATCAGTCAATCAGATCATTTTAAATTTTCTTATTTACTCAAGACTTAACCAATACCTTATCGTCCTTATGTAGGATGATGCTAGTATCCATGATACTCTGCTGGTCTACTCATAATAGTCATAAGACTTAAAATTTAACTTGAAGGAAGGAGCAAGGAGAGGCTAAAGATCTCCCTGCTAACCTGCTTTGCCACTATGCTAGTGAGTCAGAGCCTTGGGGCTTGGAGAGTTGGAGTTGGAGGGTCCACGACTGCACGGTCCACCATCCAGGTCCAGCTGTCCCAAGTAAATTAGGTAGGCCTAATCACCTATACAGTTCAATAACTGAATCAGTAGCAGTACACTAGTAAGTTAGTAACACTACTACACAATGACAAAGCTACCACTGGGCCCTGGCACTGAGCTGAGTACCATGCACTCGAGAATCAACCACTGTTAGTGTCAGGCTGTCACCTGTCGGCACTGAGCAGACAGAGCAGTGACAGTGAGGCTGTGAGCACTGCGCCTGTGCGCCATAAGCTGCATAAAGCTCATAATCATAATTCAATTGCATGAAAAACCTCTTCTGCATGCTCTCCAATGATACAATCTCCAAAATTGTAATATTGTAAAGATTAAAGAGGATATTTTATTTTCTTGCATGTCATTTCTTTAATTTTTTTCTATCATGCTACAAAGTACTGAAAGTGAAAGCAGTGTGACTGTGAAGTGTGATTGAATCAGAAATTCCTGGCTGAAAATTATTGGTAAAAAATTTCATTTCATGGCCCCATGCCCATGGGCCATGGCTATCAAGCCATGCTGCCATGGATTATAGCCCATGATCCACAGCCATAGCATGATACTTGATGATAGCAATGACTGACATAGTGACATATGAAATTGGCTATGAGGATAAATTTTTTATCTAATACATGTGGCTTATCACTTATGCCCAATTTTCTACTTTGAATAGTGATTAGCAGGTGCGGGCTTGCAGCAGCATTTTTTTCCTGCTTTGTCTGGTGGCTATGATGGAATTTCAGGAATTGGTTGGTCTTTGTCATGTAGCTCCACCAGAATGACCAGAGCGCTCCACACTCAAGGACAGGAGGCCACGGGGCGGCAGGGGGTAGTGCAAATTGAAGGTACTACAAGAGACTGAAAAGTGCTAATTGTTTAGAAAATGCCAGTGATTTGGGTGCTGGAGCACTGTAGTGCACTTGTCCACACCCAGGGCATCCTGCTTTTTTGCAGAGTGTGCGCTCCCATTTTGGCCACCATGCTCCTAAATTACATAGGTACGTGGTGATTTAGAAGGCATGTAAAATTCCACAAAATAATGTCTGCAGCTTGATGATAGTGTGCAGCCAGTGCAGGCATGGAATATATCTACCATTTGAGGCATAACTATTAACTAGAGCTGTCCCACTACTTTTGAAGCCAGGACCAGGAGATTCCTGCTAGAAGAATCACCTCCATCTTATTGTTAACTAAAGTGTATAAGCCAGCTGTGAGATTCCTATGTAAATTGAAAATTTGTCAATTTGTAACTGCACAATTTTAATAACGAGTGGGGAAATTCCAATCCTGGTGGTCATTAATGGTTAACCTCTTCCTCTTGTCATGTCATTAATGGTTAACTTCTTAATTATGGTATTTCACAAGTTCTTTGATAAAATAGCTCCTACGTATATATAACTGATAAACTTTATTCTTAGGCTGTTAGATCTTGGCTACTAACTGTTGAATTTAACTGCTGCTTAAATTATTCATTGGGAATAAATGACATAAGCCTGTTATGATCTTTGTGGTGTACATATATGCTGGAAATGCTACTATTGAAATTGTTTTGTAAATTTTGGGTCCATCAATCTAAGTTTGTGTTAAAAATTTCAATTTATTTCTAAGTGCTTGGATATTTTGCTTTTAATAAATAAATTGAGTTTCAGATTTTTGCTTTTTTAACAAGTAATTTTTAAGTTGTTGTTTCTCGACAAATATTTAAAAAATGACAGAAAGGGAATCAGTGAAGCCATCTCGGCATGACTACATTGAGAAACTTGAAGCAAGGTTGAAGCGCAAAGCACGACTTGCCCATGAAATTGGAGCAGGAGCTCCATGCATGAAGTGTGGGGATAAATGCCCTGGATTTGAATTACACTTCTGGAAGTAAGAATCTTATACATGGCACTTGTCAAAACATTTCTTAAGTTGAATTCTGAAAGGTTCAAGATTTACGGTACTTGAAATAGTTATAGCAAAAAACGGCAAAAATCATTGTACTAAGAAAAATTCAATGACTAAATATGGCTTAATTTTTTTATATTTCATACAGTTACTGCCTACAGTATTGCCTTAGTACCTTTGTTATTCAAATATCTCTTATTGTTGAAATATATGTACTAAATTTTATTTTACTGTCTGAAGAATGATGTTCACATAAATTTACTTGGTATAAATTTTCTTGCAGAAAAATTTGTCAGAACTGTCGCTGCTCAAAAGATGACCACGATATCCAGGATGAAGATGAAGATATTGGCCACATCATCATTGGCAAGCTGTTTGACCGACCAGATCCACTGGCTGATGAAGAGCAGGGTAACGTAACCTTGCAAGATCAAAGCTCCGCAGCTTCAACTGGAGTTCCTCTTCAGAAAAAGGCAAAGCCTAAAACAGGTGTGATGTTAGCTGGTCATATCCTGAGATCATAATAGTTGCAGAGATTGTAGTTTTACAAGTACAACGCTAATACTTGTCAAAAAACATCAATGCAAAAACTTGACCTATACCTATAAACCTATAAATATACAGTAACAGGAAATTTATTGATTATTATTGCCTTGGCTCTCACTATTTGCTCTCATTCTCATTCAAGCTACCCTTCAGTTAGACATGTTGCAGGTTTCCTACATTATTCATTCCTGTAAAAATAGGTTTTCTCTTTTCCTTATTCTTTGTGATCAAACTTAATAGGGGCTCAATGTGTCCCTCTTGCTACAGCTACTGTCCTGAACCTACTGGACCCCAAAGGACCATCCACTTCTCTGAAGTTTGAATGGGTGCCTCCAAATGTTGACCAGAAACTTGCTGCCCGCTACATGACAGCTCTACCACCCGAAAAGCGACCAGTAGTTGGTTCTGATGTAAGTAGTCTTGTAAATGTTTGCTTCCTATTTAATATAAGGCAATATGAGAAGAGGAAGGAAGCCTAGACATTAAAGCAGACAGGCGCATTTACCTTGAGTTGTTCCCAAAACCTGGGCACACCTATTCCTTGCTAGTGCATCTCTGCCTCCCCTTCTTCCCGCTCGTCTCTGCCTCCCCTCCTTCCTGCTCGTCTCTGCCTCCCCTCCTTCCTGCTCGTCTCTGCCATTCTTCCCGCTCGTCTCTGCCTCCCCTTCTTCCCGCTCGTCTCTGCCTCCCCTCCTTCCCGCTCGTCTCTGCCTCCCCTCCTTCCCGCTCGTCTCTGCCTCCCCTCCTCCCCCCGCTCGTCTCTGCCTCCCCTCCTTCCCCCGCTCGTCTCTGCCTCACCTCCTTCCTGCTCGTCTCTGCCTCCCCTCCTTCCCGCTCGTCTCTGCCTCCCATTCTTTGCTCCTGCCTCTGCCTCAATTCCATCAGGTTCGTCTCTAGCTCGTCGTTTTCGTTAAAAAATCGCATTACAAATTTAATTATCGTGCACAGGCTGCAAAGGAGCGGCGGCAGCTGCTGCAGCAGCAGATCCCGCTGTACGACATGGACGAGACGCACCGCTGCGAGACCATGCCCAGCGAGGAGCTCGCTCAGTTCAAGTCCCATCTCGAGCACATCCGCACCCACGTCGTCGGGCAAGGCCAGGTCTCAGAAGTTCATCTCGCGCCCAAACTCCTTGTAGGATCGCTGGGGAGATCCTCTAAAGCTGCCTCTTTCTCCCCTCATGAGCCTGAGGGAGAGAACAATACCAATCAATGGGGTGAAAGCAACGCTTCATATTACGGACAAAAAGATCCTAGCTTGCCCGACAGTAGAGGAAACTTGCCCGGAGGTCCTAATGAGGTATACGGAACCCAGGGCAGATATGGTACTCCTGGATATCTTCAAGGAACATCGGAGGTGGTGCACGGAATTCACAACACTCCTAAATTCAACGTGCGCGACAACTCTGTGTTCACTAACGACCGCGGGGCATCAGGCAGCGATGCGACGCACTCCAATAGCTCTGAGAGGACATCTCGTGTTCCTGGTATACAGGATGCTCCGCTCCCGCCTTATCCGTGGGAATCAAAGCTCGGAACATCGCTTGCCCAGACCATCAACGAGGGAGAACAGCAGCCTGGTCACTTCTCAGACTCGAGGAACAATAACTACCAGACACCAAACAACAGGAGCAGCTTCATGGGTGACATGCTCTCGCAGAAACTCGGTGATCTATCAGTGAGTCATCAGCTAATATATATTTTTATATGAGCTTATAATTACCTTGTATATGGTTTTGGAATTTTCTGAATTAAGTTTGAATTGGCCTTGAAATTCAAGGTGATGACGACTTGTATGCGAAGTGAGGTTCCCTTTTGAGAAGGTTTCATCGTGGCTGTGTAGAACTGTATACGGCACTAGTTGTTTGTTCTTGAGGGCATTTTTTAAATCAAAATGCGAGGTTTCTTGTGAGCTTTGAGTCCACTTTCTTCAAATTTGTAAGTACACCTTGAATTTTGAAGTTGTAATTCCATATTATATGTAATGGAATACTCGCTGTAAATGAATATTCTTTTCGACATGTGTTTACTAATATCGTTTTTTTTCTAGCTGCAATATTCTGACAGCCTGGCACCTCGTCTGCATTCGGCTGACCCCAACCATGCCACTCAAGGTTCGATATTAGCTACTCTCCAACGAAAAATTCTTATGAAAAATGAACAGTATAAGGTTAAAAATGTATTGTTTACTAGTTTTGCTAACGTTCTACAATGTTCCAGGAGCCACTTACCCGCACCCAGCATTCGCCAGAGAAGCAAGTGCCAAGAAGTTGGAGGTGGCGCGGCCGAGTCTCTTCCTCGCAAGCTCGCAAGTCCGCGCTAATGACAGTCCTGAATTTTCTCAGCTACTCGTACACCGAAAAGATTACGGCAAACCCATCGCTGATCACAGGACCGGCAAACCAGTGGTAAACCCTGCCACTGGGAAACCCATTGTTGTTGGCCAGCAAATTATTGATCCCATTACAAACGAGCCCATTATTGACTGTGGCAAGGGGATCCCTATAATAATGGGTCAGACTGTAATTGATACAAACAATGGCAAACCTGTACTGGACCCTGCAACTGGTCAACCATTAAAGCTGGGCCAGCCCATTTATGACCCAAGAAGTGGAAAACCCATTGTTGATCCCTCAAATAGTCGGAGCATCATTTTGGGTCAACTTATTGTGGACCCCATTACCCATAAACCCATTATTGATATTGCAACAAGTCAACCATATGTCATGGGTCAACCGATTCTAAATCCTAGCACCAGAACCCCGATTACTGATCCCGTATATGAGCAATGTTATGTGATGGGTCAGTTCAGTAACAACCCTGCGAACGGCTTACCTATTATGAATCCCCTTACTGCGCAACCCATACTCATGGGTCAACCCATTTACACGCCGGCTGGTGAGCCATTGGTGTATCCTTCTACTGGCCAGCTGCCCATTATGGGAGAACCCATACTTGACTCAACGGGTCATCTAGTGATCAATCCTGCAACTAACGAACCATATTTGATGGGTCAACCTCTTGTTCACCCCCTGACCCGACAGGTTTTAACCGATCCTCTGACACACCAACCGTATTACATAGGTCAACCCATTGTAGACCCGGCCACAGGACATATGATCATCAATCCTGAGTCAGGTGAACATCATATCATGGGTCCCCTGGTTTCGGATCCTGCCATGGGTTACCAAATCATGGACCCTAGTACTGGAAAGCCCATCATTGATCCCAATTCTGGTAAACCCATTCCTGCCGGCGCTATCATCGCTGGCTTAGCAGCGAGCAACCGCAACAATAACGCTGCAGGAGGCTCGCTGCAACGGCCCACGGAACACGGCCAGCAGCACCTGCCGTATCCGGCATACCGCGAACGCTTGGCTGGTAAGATTTGACAAATATTACGATGCTACACGTGACATTTGTATGCAGCTTGTATAGGTTCCAACTCAAGGATAAATAGTAATTGGCTTCTAGATGTTAAAATGTTAGTAATAACGATATTGCGCAATTTTAAATGCAGCGTGTAAGTGTCACAGCTCCAAAATAAATTGTAGCAGGGACCTAGATAAGAAAATGTAAATAACGATCTCGTCAATCAGGCTCGTCTCAGCTGCCAACTTCAGAAGAGGTGTCGGTTCTGCTTCCCCACGAGAGCAACGTTCTAAAGGGCAGGCAGGTAGTGCCGGACGTAGGTGCTGGCACACACCCGTCCTCACCTTACAACTGCCAGCACTGCCACGAGCCCATGATACCTGGCGACGTTGCTGTCATCTGTGAGCGAGCCGGCCCGCAGAAGGTGGGGAATTTCCTCTCTTAACTTAACCGCGTTAAAAAGGAAGGACCCAATTGTAATGAAGTTCGATAGCGCAGATATGTTCGTAAAGATCTCGCAATTGTGTTGGAATTGGTTTCTGGTAATTGACGTCTGGCAATAGAGATGATATCACAACGATGATATTACTAGAACTTCATTGTAGTGGCGATTCACAAACTAACAATGATGTGGACAATAATAGGTATATTTTCGGGGACAATTCTTCAACAGTGACATATTTTGTAATCGCATAAAACATTTCATCATTAAGTGTTGCGTTGTTGCTGTCAGTTTTGGCACCCACGGTGCTTCGTGTGCCACGAGTGTGGGGAGCTGCTGGCTGACATGATCTACTTCTGGCATGGCGACCACATCTACTGCGGCCGACACTACCACAAGGTGGCCGAGGTGCCGCGCTGCCACGGCTGCGACGAGGTAACTACTGGCCGCACTAGTTAAGCATTACCATTACCAATATGCATGTTGATACTATTTATTATTGAAGTTTAACTGCCATGACTTGGGCTTTTTCGCCTCGCAATTCGTTAGTAAATTTCTACCCTTGTGATTTCTACATAACCTTTCTCACTTTTCCATGTTTTCATTTGTTAGCACTCATTGGTTCCTTCTAAACTTCTATAATTCTTCATTTTGTCCAATTCTTCTATATTTCCACGTACTGATGCTCCCCCTCCCCCCGCAGCTGATCTTCAGCAACTCGTGGACGCGTGCGGACGGCCACGACTGGCACCTGACACACTTCACGTGCTTCCTGTGCGACAAGCCCCTCGCCGGCGAGTCTTACGTGCCTTCAGACTCCGGCCACCCCTACTGCATTCCTTGCCACATGATCGCCCGAGCACAGGTCCACTATAAATTATTATCCACTAAATATACATCATATTCAAGGTGATCTTTAAGCGTGTGTTAGTTTCGAGATATACAGTAGCTTTGTTTCTAACATGGGATTTACTGTGCAGACGTGCGAGACTTGCGAGTTAAAAATCGAGCCCGGTTCGAAGCAATGCCAGTTCCGGGGCTACCACTTCCACGCCTCGGACGAGTGCTTCTGTTGCCACAACTGCCGCAAGCCGCTGCTGGGCGGCAAGTTTAAGCTCGTCAAGAACTGGATGTTTTGCTCCCAACCTTGTGTTGATACCTGTAAGCTGGAGATAGAGAAAAACCCTAGCACCAAGTTCAAGCATGGCGAAACTGAGGAAAAGTAGAGGAATATTTTGTCGTGTCTTGAGCTGAATGAAGTGCTCTCTACGTTATATCGTCACCTGTAAGCTCAAGATAGAGAAGAGGCCCAGCACCAAGTTCAAGCACGGTGATGCTGAAGACAAGTAGACAAACCTATTTTAAGACCTGAATGTAGAGCTCTCTGTGTTTTGTGGACACATGTGAACCGCGAGAAGAGAATAGACCGAGAAAGCCTTCCGTGCTGAAAGCGATCCAGATACAGCGAGTGCTTGAGGTCGACAACAAGTTTTGTCTAGAGTTTCATTGATTTGCTGTTGTTCAGAAAGCGTTTTTCAGGGGAAATCTCTAAGGCCCTCAAAGATTTGATACCGTAGTCGTTTGAAATTTTTTGGAAAAACCAAGTCATATAATTTTCATGTTGAAAGAGTGCAACTGAAAAATTTGTCTTAATGAGGATGTACTACTCGTCTCGATCATGTGGAAAAATTTCTTGGGTATGTCGGGCCTAGAAGCTATTTTTATTAATATTCTACGAAGCAATTATCGTGGCATCTGGTTCAAATGATTTTTGAGAGCACATTACACATAACTTTATTAGCAAGAAAGGAATGAAAATGATTAAGCACAAGATTCACAGGCTCTACGAAATAGTTCCGTCTTTAGGCGTCGACGAAACACCGTTAATTAATTAATTAAAAGAAAAGGAGCCGATGTTACGGAAGCCGGCAGACTGTTCCAGGTTCTGGTGGCGGTGACCGGGAACGCTCTGTTGCTGACGGTAGATAGACGTGTAGATGAAATGATGAGGTCCGCTGTGTTGATGACGAGCGCAGTCGTCTTCTAGATGGCAGATGCAACACGCGCTAACGAGCTTCAGTGAGATAAGGAGGCGCCAGACCTTGAAGACGGCAGAACGTCACAAGAGCGACCTTTAACTGCGTGCGCTGCTGCATGCGCAGCCAGTAAAGATTGCGCAATATCGGCGTCACGTGGTCGAATTTTTGATCATTGCACAGGCACACTAATCGCGCAGCAGCGTTCCTTAGTATCCTTAGTATCCTTAGTATTTGTTTGGGACACAGCAGTCCCAGGCCACGATGGATCGCCGCCTCTGATTATCGTTCATCCGCCCTCATTTGGGCCACCTGATGCACGATGCTGTTGCTTGCTTCTCGCCGCTGGTAGTGTTTCAGGGGAGGTCGGTCTGGAATTGTGCTCAGGAACACGTCTAGCTGTCTCTTGAAGGTCTCCAGGGTGAACTCCCCCTCTCTTAGATCCCTTGGTAGGGCGTTGAACAGCCTTGGTCCTGCCACGGAGAGTGATCCTTCTCGCAGGGATTGAAATCTGACTGCGGATCTGTTACGCAGGGGAGGGATCTTGCACAGTCTCCCCCTTCTCTCGTTGTGATATGTCTGAATCTTGAAGGTCTTGAAGGTCATTATGGATGGCATTTTATTACATGCCGTGGTCGGAAGTCCATAGAGTGCGGCACTGCAATAGTCTAATCTGGTCAGAACGAGAGCCACCACAAAGGTCTCGAGAGACAGCGCTGACCCTACGTATTCGTTGCAGAGCGCCCAAACAAGCGGGGGCGACTTTGACAATGTGATTGTTCATAGAACGTTCCGAGTTCAGCTAAATACCGAGGTTGCGAACCTAAGACGCAGGCATGACAAACTCGTTGCCCACCCGAACTGGGTAGGCCGGAAGCTGATGCTGGTGCCGAGCAGCCGCAAACCAAATAAATTCGTTTTTTATGCATTGAGCTGGAGCCGGTTGGAACGCATCAAGTCTGAGATGGCGTCCACACAGAGACATCCGGTCCTGCACCGTTGCAGCGTCGGACGGCGCACAGTAACCATAAAGCTGGGTATCGTCGACGAACATATGCGGATTCCAACAATTTTAATCAATTGTGTGCAACAGGTCGGCCGTATTTAACGGGAAAAGGATCGGGCCAAAGACTGATACCTGTGGTACGCCGCAAGTGACCAACGATGGCGTAGTAGAAGAATTTCCGTGTCGTACGCATTGGAATGTATTATTTAGATAGGACTCGAACCATCGCAGCACTGTGCCGCGCCGGCCGAATGATACATCAAGTCGACGCATAAAGTAGTGTGGTCAACCGTGGCGAACGCGGCCAACAGGTCGAGTAAAGCTAGGGCCGCAATGTCGCTGCTGTCTACCGATCGCAGAATATTGGAAAGAAACTTCAGCACGGCGGTTTCCATCAGTGGAGAGGGCGGTCTTCAGGGGCAGCTTTTGCAGACATGGAAGATGTGTGATTGAAACGGTGCAGCTATCGCGGCATAAAGTGATTTTTGATAGCAACCTTCTTCCCCGAAGAATTAATTAGATTTAAAAATTATAGAAACCATTTGTTGTAACTCAATCGACTTGGGTTTTAATATTCAATTGTTGCTCTCTGACGTGATATTTAATTGTGCTGTCTAGGAACTTATATAATGAACGATTTGCGAGCGTCAGCCTATAAAATAAATAGTTTTTGTTTCGTAAACAGACGTCGTTTCAGCACACTTATCTGTCCGGTCAGATTGAAGTCTGCAGGGTTTTATTTCTATTACAATTTCATTTCTTCAATGCTTTATATTACATTATTTATTGTTTAATTGATTGATCCAACGCTATTTTTATTTATTATCAAGACGAGCTGTGATTAAATTTGTAAACCAGTGCCAACTTTCCATGTAGATTTTAAAATAAATATTTATATATTCTTGTAGGTAATGAATAATTCGTCAGAAAATTAGTTTGCTTGCATCTGGTGCTGCAGAGCCAGGCAGCGTTGGCTGACTGAGCTGCCGGCGACCGTCGACGAAGTAACTTTCAAAATAAAACTGAAAAATATATTTCATTTTCAAACAAATGAGAGACCTGAAGCCATAAAAGTGCATTTGTGTGCAGTATTATGTGATTTTTATTGTTATACTGCGAATTAAATGCAGTGGCAGCTCAAATACGCTGCCTTGTGAGTGACGTACAGGAATCCGAAGTTGCCGTGGCCTGTTTCTTAACATTGTAACTTGGTAGTATATGAAAGTGCCTTCATAGCGCTCGATGGGCCGCTAATTTACACATTTACTTGTAATGTGAGCTTTTAAATGTCCATGCCATGTGAGTGTTGCTGACGTTTTGTTTAAGTTTGGGAACAAGATTCATTGATAGTTAGTTCCGACATAGTAATCTGCTATGTCCAAGAATAACCCCGAAATTTTATTTTTATTGGTTACGCACTTATTTTAGACTAGTTTATCCATGCAGTTGTGCTATAATTTTGTTACTGTATACCATTTGTATGGTGCTAAGTGTTGTGTTATGTTCTCATTTAACTTCTCAATGATCTGTAGGGTCTTTATTTTGGCGTAAGCAAGGTTATTTATTTCAGGTTTGCTTAGACACATTCCTCACTAGCATCTCAATGCCAGCACTAACATTCCTCCCTTAGTATTGGTAAATAAGGCATGCATACCTTCTTCCTGAAGTACAAGCGACAATTATTTGCATTGCTCTCATTGAATGCTTTGTTCTCATTACCTATATATATATGTGGCAAGTAATAGCGCGTTGTTACTGCACTAGATTTGACTCGGTTTAGTCTCGGTTATAACAGGATATGTTCTATGAAACATTTTAAATAATTGGCCAGCATTTGATCATACCTTTGTTACTCAAATTGAAGATTAGGTTTGAACTAAACTCATAGTAAGAGCGAGTTTAGGAATAATCTAACTATTTAATTATTTGCTGATAACTTTGGAACTGTATTTGATGGCACATTTGTGTGCTACTGAAGGCTATCTGTTGTGGGTGTCTGTGGGTAATTCCTTCGGGACCAACTCTGCCAAAATATATGCTAATCATATTAGAATTTGTGATCTATATATGATGAAACATTAACGTGTCCCAGGCGTCGCAAATATTATGAGTTATTATTTTCATCGCGAACTATAAATTTGCGTCATTACCGACCCTGTTAGTAATGAATATAATGAATGAACTTTACTAGAGCTTCAAGTCCGCTTAACGAGCAATGGTGCTTCTATGGCTGCAGTTCTATGATTTATTTTGTTTATAGTATTGCTTGTTTTTACATGATCTACTTTTATTTTGTTTCTCTTTACGAGCTTTCTAGTTTGTGCCAGCTTGTGATCTTGTGCCAGTAGTATTAGTGAGCCTGATCTTTTTGTTACATTAGTCAATTATATTAGTTTATTGTTTACCCTTCATTTGTGTTATATATTACATTTTTTTGCTTACTGTCATGCGGTTTTTTAACGCACTAATTATTTTTTCACGCTACCGCGCAGTATGATTTTATTCACCAATTCTCCATGACTATCATACTATGACAATTGCTTGTTCTTAGCACCTGTTGGTCCTTGCTACTAATGTCTTCTGATATCTTTTAGTACGTAGCTATGTTCTGTGGCTTTGTTCTATATTTGCTTTATTTTATCTGACCCATAGACATATTTAATACCCATGCAATACCCATCTTTATTTCCCAAGCCAATACCCATCTCAATACCCAAGCCAATACCCAAGCCAATACCCAAGCCAATACCCATACTTGATTTCCAAGCCAATACCTACCCATCTTTAATTCCCAAGCCAATACTCATACTTAATACCCATGCCAATTCCCAAGGAATTACCCATATTTAATACCCATGCCAATACCCCTCTTTAGTGGTCATAATTAGAGGATTTTATGAGAAGTAATGAAATTTCTTCTAGTCTGGTAGGAATTTTATCAACCAATCCATTGGGCGCGACACTAAATTATTTTAGAAGAATAACTTCGTCCAAGTTCCTATATTATCTCGATTAATCTAGGTTTAATGATTATGAAGATTAATATAGCGCCATAACAAATTTTGTCATTTGACATTTTTGAAGTTTTGTATTTTCTTACGTATAAGAGCATGATTGTGCTTCAGAGAGTTTTTTATTTCAAATCCTTCTGGATATTCGTAGGTTTGAGTTGGAAAACGCGAGTTTCTAAGCGTTGAAATTCATTGCATTACTAGGCTAATATGAATGAAAAATGCACGGCTTGAATTTCAATATCATAACACCTTAACTGAACGTAGAGCGTCGAGTATGAAATAAAGATGCAGCATTGAATCAACCTACTTCTCAGCTATGGAAAGATCGGGTTCCAAAGGCCGGATCCCTTGTGAATCAAGTCACGAAAAGTTCAAGAATCGGCAACAGGCCATGGGCCTATTTCTTCAACGCCGACACTTCTATTCTATTCTATAATAAATCGGGGATTCATATACTCATGTTATATAAGTAAACATATCCTTAAAGTTTTTATAGATTTTCATGAGCATTTCGCTGCTTCTGCAAGAATGAAATATGTCGTGAAAGTTACTACAGCTCGTACCGTGCTGTTCGTTACTCGGGCCAAATGAAATTTATTCGAGAACTCGGTACTGTTCAGTAATCATATTACGTACATTTTGTTGTATTTTTGTTTATATGTTTACACAAGCCTTGTTCTGACTTCCTTTATTGTGTGAATTAGAATTGACATTTCTAGTATCAGAATATTGCCATAGTCAGGGCGTCCCTAGCAACCAGTATCAGAATATTGCCATGGTCAAGGCGTCCCTAGCAACCAGTATCAGAATATTGCCACAGTCAAGGCGTCCCTAGCAACCGCTTAGCAACGGCCTCGGCCTCCGGCTACCACAGCAGAGCTCCAGTGAGCGCTGCTCTGCAGAGACGCGCACAGCTCAGTCTACACATCCTGCAAGGTATGAGTGTGTTGTGTAGTTGTAACTATTCAACTAACAGGGCTACTAATTAACAAGTAAGTTACCAAGCAAGTCATACTGTGTGTTTGGCAGGGTTTGATGAACATTCAATGCAACATTCAATTCATTGACGATCGTACACGTAAAAACGAAGGAACTGCACGCAGTAAAATGCCCGAAATTTTTAGACGAATTAGTAACGTTCAAATACAAAAAAAAAATGATCTAAGTATTAATGTAGACAAGCTTGGCGCCTGTATGAGCCATTTAAACCTCATTATGGTTAATATATCTAAACGTTATTCTATCCCATATAAGTCTGCTTAAGAAGGATGATGAAGGAAATAGTGTTTGAGTATGGATTGGCACAGGGTGTTGTCATAACAAATAATATATAACGATAAAATAAAAATTTAATGTGTATTTATTTCATAGAGTTGCTTATTTCCTAAAAAATAATTTGACAAATTACATAAGTTTGTCAAGTCACAAAATTACGAATATTATATCATTAACTTTCCAATGCCTTGTGACTAACAGGAGTGCAATCTCTACTGCAAGGGCGTTGAATATGAACTGTTAGGAAAGCTTAAATTCCTAAACGATCGATGTTTTTAATTAACTCAATAAATAATTATTCTAATTATTACCCGATTATTACTACGACCCGATAACAAATTCAAATAATTAATTATATAATATAATTAATTTATTTGTTCACCAATCTCGGCCCTGCTGGCAGATGTCGCTGCTCGCGTGCCACAGGAAGCCCGCCACGCGCTCGCTGGAGGCCACGTGGCGCCGCCACAACGACGCCGTGCAGGAGGCGGCCGCCGCCACCGAGGCCGCCGCCCGCCACCAGCATGCGGTGGCCGCCGCGACCCGCCATGAGGTAGGCCGTATGAGGCCATGAGGTGGGCCGTATGAGGCCATGAGGTGGGCCGTATGAGACCATGAGAGCGTTTGAGGCCATGAGATGGGCCATATGAATGGGCCATTTGAGGCCATGGTCGACAAATGTATCCATTGCTTTGGGAAATGAATTTTCAGATTAGACGTCAATAATTGTCAGACTTGGAACAATAATTTAGTCATTATATGTTTCAAACTTGAGAAAATAACGATTAATTTTATCACAAAATGACGCGCTTGCTTCTTCAAGGCGTTGATGAGCTAACTACACGTGTTCAACTACACGTGTTCAGCTCACGTGTTCAGCTCACGTGTTCAGCTCACGTGTTCAGCTCACGTGTTCAGCTCATGCATGCCTCGTGCAGCAGGTGCCTGCAGCAGGTGCATGCCTCGTGCAGCAGGTGCCTGTGAGTGTGGGTGTCGCAGGTGTAAACATTCTTTGTGTAGGTGCAGCAACTCATACATCTGCAATTGTGTACCAATAACTCTCTGATATTAATGAATGCATGTTACTTCAAGGCATTATTTTAAGAGCATGTAGCCATAGTTTTGTTTGTAGGCGTAACGAACTTATTTTAAAATATTCAGCTTTATTTGAAGAGCGTATATGTAGTTAAGGTAATACGCGTACGAGAAATTTCTAGGCTAACTAGAAGTTAAAGAAGTTAACTTAGGAGTAATTAATAATCATAGTTGATGCAGATTATTTTAATTACAATAATGATCATAATAACCCAACGATAATTATAATGCCAAAACCTTCATTCATAATCACAGGTCGCCACGGGAGATATTATAAGACTTGCCCTAGTGCACGTAGCGGCCAATATCTCGTGTGTGATTGGTGGGTTTAGCTTGAAAATCCGTCTGTGATTGGCTGGTGGAGTTAGAAACACGTAACTATTTATGATAATACGGTCCGTGATTGGCTGGCGGAGTTAGAAACACGTAAATATATTTGATAGTACGGTCCATGATTGGCTGGCGGAGTTAGGAAAACGTAACTATTTATAATTTATTATTTATTATTAATTAGTAATAATATTGGTAATACGGCCCCAGGTTTCACACGAGGAGCGTCGTCTGGAGCAGGCGAGAGCTGAGTGCCTGCGAGGCTGCGACTCCAGGCGACCGCTGCTGGACGTCGCCCTGCACTGTGTCGCCGTCCGCGAGACGCGACGTCAGGGCGAGCTGCTCGACGACGAGCTCGAGGTGAGGGTAGAGGGGTGAGGTTAGATGGGTAGTACCGTATGTTAGGCCAGCTCACCCCTCTACCCTCTACCGTGAGGGTAGAGGGTAGAGGGTAGATGGGTAGTACCGTATGTTAGGTCAGCTCACCCCTCTACCCTCTATCGTGAGTGTAGAGGGCGAGGGTAGATGGGTAGTACCGTATGTTAGGTCAGCTCACCCCTCTACCCTCTACCGTGAGGGTAGATGGTAGAGGGGTGAGGGCGAGCTGCTCGACGACGAGCTCGAGGTGAGGCTCGCGAGCTCGTAGACTGTGTTTAAGTGGACAGGAAATTGCCTAGTAGGCCTATTGCAAATAATGCGGCACAGCGGCACAATAATTAACAGTTATTGCTAGTTATTGATAATTACGGTGATAATGTTATCTATAACACATTTCAACACAACTCCAAGAAAATAATCAATTTTGCTCCAGATAACTTAACGCTCACATACTTACATGCTGCCATCTTTGGTCTCAGCTTTGAAGTTCTATTAGGTTGTGGACGACGTGGAAGTTACGAACAAAAAATAATTATGGAAAGCTTTAAAAGGTCATAGCCCGTCATCATTTCCCGCCATCATTCCCCGTCATCATTCCCCGCCATCGTCATCATTCCCCGTCATCATTCCCCGTCATCATTCCCCGTCATCATTCCCCGTCATCATTCCCCGTCATCATTCCCCGTCATCATTCCCCGCCATCATTCCCCGCCTTCATTCCCCGTCATCATTCCCCGCCATCATTCCCCGCCTTCATTCCCCGTCATCATTTCCCGTCATCATTCCCCGTCATCATTCCCCACCACAGCGCCGCCTTCAGGAGGAAGTGGCAGCTCTGCAGCGCTCGAGGGCTGCCCTCGAGAAGCTGCAGCAGGAGCTGCTGCAGAGGGGCAGGCGTCTGGAAGAAGTGAGGGAAGCCCTCATCAGAGACCTCAATGAAAAGGTCAGCGCCGAAAAAATATAACTCAGTATTTTCTCGTCGACGAAAACGTGAAGTCACGGACGACAGACAGACGGACGGACATGACGAGCACAATAGCGCCTTTTTTTCCATAAATGAAAAAATGCGCTAAAAAATATAACTCAGTACTCACTGCAGTGAGTGACAGAGGGCGTATTTTCTCGACGACGAAAACTTGAGGTCACGGACAGACGGACGGACAGACAGACAGACAGACGGACGGACGGACATGACGAGCACAATAGTGCATTTTTTTCATAAATGAGAAAATGCGCTAAAAACTGATAACTCATGCCCAAACAGTTTTTATTTTTTAATTGACCTTTATTTCAATTCACGCAATAATTCAAGCGTCATTAACGATTAGGTTATTCACGTTATTCGTGCAACAGGAACGATAATTACTATAATTTCTACGTTAATTGAGTGAGTAATTTTAAGCGTGCGTTAATATAATTTCTATTTAAAATGAAATAATTTTTATTTAAAATAAGTACAGCTATATTCGGGAGTCAAGAACGATACCTTCATATTTGAAGAAACAGACCCTCGCTCCTTCAACAGGCTCGTCGTTGTTAAGGCTGATATGGCAGCAGTAATTTATTTCTGTCATATCGAATCTCCTCAAAAAATGAACACTTGGCATCATATATTTTCCCTCATAGTTGTTTTTAAATTAAATTTAGCTCTTGGGTTGAATCGTACTTCACCGTACATCCACACACACTTTGTTATTGCACGAATGCTATAGAATTGTTACGTAAGAATAAAGAAAAGTTATAGAAAAAATGAAAATGGTATAAAAGTTAATGCTATAGAACTTAATGTTATAGAAGTGTTATAAATCTTTTTAAGGCAGCGGATATTCATGGAAATATTTTTTTTGTCTCCGTGCAGAAGGAGGCGCTGGTGGTAGACAGCAGGAGCGCTGAGCAACTCCCTCAGCACTCAGACGTGTCCTTCAAGCCCGCCCCCCAACAGGGCGCGTCTCACCCCCTTCATGCTCTCGTGTCAGTGGGACAAACGAATATTTGTGAGAATATTCCGGTGCAATAATTCCAAATAATGTTTAATATGTCTTTTGGGGGGTTTGCACCAGTAAAGACTCTTAACAAACTCAGGCAGGCTTTTTGGCGACTTTTAGTCAGAAGAATTAGAACTTCTTGAAGTTGAAGAACTTCTTGAAGTTGAAGTAGGTACTTCTTCAACTTGATACCGGGCTTAGTTGTCATATAGGCTCCACTGACATGCCCTGGGCAGAAGCCACTTCAGTTCAGTATATCTGCTGTGGTAACTGACTCTAGCACGAGACGTCGGAGCTCGACGTGACAAATCGTACACGTGATGCGAGTGTAAGATGCGAATGTTCCAGCATAACGCTGATAATCGATTGTAATGCATTCGCTCGCTTCTAAAAACTAACCTTATTAATCGACGTAACAGGTTTCAGTTAAACTTGCTTTATTAATGCATATGTTGTTCACTCGTTACGGTGGTGCAACGATTCCGAAGGAACAAAGTTTAATTTCGTAGACGTCCTTGCAAATCACATCGGAACTATTAGGATAATTAGCATACAAAATATAAATGTAAACAAAGGGCCAAAAGCATGTACCTCCTTTCTTCAGATGACAGTGGGCGAGTGGAAACTCAAATAACGAATAGTGAATATTAATATTATTCGTTGAATATTAATATTCAAGGAATATCATTAATATTTAGGTCCTTTGTCCTCAGGCAATCTTTGAAACTTCAATCGCTTATTTTGCACCTATGCTGCGCATATCATCACAAGAAATGACCAGAGAAAGCATTATAATTTTCAAGGAGTCGAACAATTCTTTAGATTACGTTGGTAGATCAAAAGGCACATTTAACAAATATTAATAATATATTAACGACGTTTCGCATGTAGCAACATTCATTTTCAAGTTAAGAGAAGCATTGAATAGTGGAATTTTGTTAACAAGAAAGTTCTGCCATCTTATAATAATATCATCACAAGAAGTGCACCCACGTGCGAAATTAGATATTAAAAAAACTATTAAAAAAAACTATTAAAAAAGTTACAAAAAATTAAAAACTTTTTCTTGCCCAAAATGTGGCACAGCGGCCATTCGATGGAGGCCTGGCGCAAGCGGTCGGAGGACAAGATGATGGACGCCGCCACGGCCGTCCGGATGTCCCAAGAGGCTCGGGCGGCCGCGTGTGTGGAGGTGCAGGTGAGAGACGCTATTTTAATTTATGCTGTTTATTGTTTAATGACCTCAAACTTTATTTTAATTTTTTTCTATAGTTATGCCTTCATTCGTACTCATTTATTTTAACTGTGTTGCATTCCTGCTCATTTCAGTCACGCCCAGTCTGTCATGTATTGTATTTTGTCCTTTTCAACCTCATTTTGAATGAACGGAAATTTTTCATCACAAATATTTTATTTTGGATACTATTTTCGTGTTGGCTATCTCTGTCGTGTCTGACGGTGTCGGAATTTTAAAGACCAGGTGTTGGATGGTCTTGTAATTAATTTATATAAATTTTTGTAATTTTTTTTGCCAGCGCTGCGATGCCGAGGACGATCACTGCCGGCGGGCGACGAACTTTGAACTCCGCCGCCGCCGCCACGACACCGACACCGCCACCGCCGCCCTGAAGTGGCGGAGACAATGCCTGCTACGCACCGCCGCCACTACTGAGAGTGAGGTCAGTTCGTCACACCGCCGGCACTACGCTGAATGAGATCATGTAGAAAATAACTTGATTTATGAAATTATTACCTTTTAAAACTAGAAATGAAATAAGCACTTGATTAAAAGTAAATACAGGCCACATTATGCGGCAGATAGAGCACTTGGAGCGAGAGCTGGCGAGCACACAACTGCTCGTGAAGGCGGCGCAGACGCGACTGGAGGACCGCAAGGCGCGGCCCGCCAACGAGGCGACGGCGGACGCGGCGCAGGAGAGCCTCTGGCAGGAGGAGCGGCAGCTGCGCCGCTCCAGGGACGCCCTCAGAGGGGAACTAGCTGCCTCCAGGTGCACATGTTCCTCCTTTAGTTTATTTAAAGACCAGGAAAACTGTTTTTTATATTCGGGTTTTGGGTTTATTTGAAGACCAGGAAGACTTTTTTATATTTACTTTATTTGAAGAACGGGAAAACTGTTTTTAACGCATTTTCTCGTTTATGGAAAAAAGGCGCTATTGTGCTCGTCATGTCCGTCCGTCTGTCTGTCCGTCTGTCTGTCTTTCGGTCCGTCCGTCCGTCCATGACTTCACGTTTTCGTCGACGAGAAAATGCGCTCTCTGTCACTCACTGCAGTGAGTACTGAGTTATATTTTTTAATTAGGCTTTTTGAAGACCAGAAAAACTGTTGACTGCGTTTTTTCGTTGCTTCAAAGTCTTTCAAACGTCTTCAGAGCATAGAATCCTCCAAGGTACACATGTTCCTCGCTTTCAGTCCTCTTTGAAGACCTGGGAAACTTGCCTGTTTTTTTCGGCCTAAAATTTCTTAAACTGCTGTATCTGAATCTAAATTTTGTCAAGTTTAGTGTCAAATTTCCTAGGTTATAATCGAACAGGCAGGAAAAAATCTAAATTCGAACCCTGACACATATTATTTCTCATTTTTCGAGCTTCCTCTAAAATCAAGATACGATTCGTGTGCTTTTTACTGACCTTTCTTTATCTGACACCTGCAACCTATGTTGCGTCATGCTGCAACATGCTAAACAATGCAAGACTCATGCTAAACAATGCAAGACTCATGCTAAACAATGCAAGACTCATGCTAAACAACGCAAGACTCATGCTAAACAATGCAAGACTCGGACAAACAATGCAAGACTCATAGCGCTTCTGTGAACAAGGCACGAAAAGGAAAAGAATCGGTGACAGGCCACATCAGGCCTACACTTCAGCGCCGAGATCACTATGTTATGTTATGTTAAGACTCATGCTAAACAGTGCAGGACTCATGCTAAACAATGTAAGACATATGCTAAACAATGCAAGACTCATGCTAAACAATGTAAGACATATGCTAAACAATGCACGACTCATGCTAAACAATATAAGACATATGCTAAACACTGCAACATCGTTGATTGCGTGCAGGATGAGTTTGCATGAAGTACAGGAGCAGTTGCGTGCAGTAGACCGCGAGCTACGGCTGAAGGCAACGACGGCAGGCAGCGAGCAGACCGTGGCCGGGCTGAGGGAAGTGCCCTCGCGACTACCCTCTAAAGAGGGCCTTGTCGAGCACGAGGAGGTAGCGTCCCTCACGCTGCAGAACCTGCAGCTGACGGGGTCTCTGCAGCAGCATGCCACTCTCATGCTGACATAGCGCTGCAGCAGCATGCCACTCTCATGCTGACATAGCGCTGCAGTAGCGTGCCACTCTCATGCTGACATAGCGCTGCAGCAGCATGCCACTCTCATGCTGCTGCCCCTTCTTTTTGCTATGGTTATTTTGATTTATTGTGCTTCTTAATTATTAATTTGTACGGTTTTTGGGGCACATTTTGCAGCTCCTGGGAATATTCTTCTGTTATAATTTCAATATTATTAAGATATTCTTAATTGATTGAAATACACTTTACCACCGCCATTTTGTCCCGATGTTTTAACCTGGCGTTCAGATCGTGATAGGAAGTTAAGTGTAGCGATTATTCGAAATGTTTTCAAAATATTCATGAAGCCAATAACGAGGTAAGGTTTTACGGTTTATCCATAAATGTTTTAGTGACCGCCACTAGTGTCTCCGTGTACACGCGCCCTAAGTAAAATTATTTGATGTTCTCAGATTGTCGCGCTTCTTAGTAAATATTTTCATACGGTACAATGTTTCAGATTTGGTCATATTACACAAACATGCGAATGAACTCATAGCTTCTGCGTAATGTATGTGTTGGCAGAGGTGGGCAGTAGCGCGCTACATGTAGCGGCCGCTACACTTTCAGTAGCGGTAGCGGAGCTACATTTAAGCAATTGTAGCGGTAGCGGTAGCACCCGTTACATTTAGAGCATGTAGCGGTAGCGGTAGCGGTAGCGGCGCTACATTTAAGCAATTGTAGCGGTAGCGGTAGCACCCGTTACATTTAGAGCATGTAGCGGTAGCGGTAGCGGTAGCGGCGCTACATTTAAGCAATTGTAGCGGTAGCGGTAGCACCCGCTACATTTAGAGCATGTAACGGTAGCGGTAGCGGCCGCTACATTTCGAAGTAGCGCTGCCCAGCTCTGTGTGTTGTCATATTAAGGCACACAAAACAGGTTAGCGTCTGCCACCTCACAGAAATGAGCGAGACTTTGTCCAAACCGAGATGTACTTCTTGCATTTGTTTGAGGCATCCTGACTCAGTTTGGACCGGCAAGATTGCGTATCAGAGCACGTGTAAGAAGTGGATCATATTTGAACAATTATCCATATATATTACTTTAAGTGATTACTAGTCAATATCAAGTTAGATAAATTGCGTTTAGAGGCCAATGATATGATTGATATCAAATGAGGTTTTTTTTTTTGTTCCTATAGAATATCTGAATATGTAGTGTTGGTGTTCTGATCGCGTTTGGGGCGCTGAACTCGTGGCTCTACTAACGACATTTAATTCGTACGTACACCACCCAGGACTGATGCCCCAAGAAACCTGCAGCCCATATAGCAGTGATGAAGAAACTTTAATTCCTTGTAAATTTATACGCCATGCGATAAAGTTTTCAGTTTGGTTGCTCGCTTCGTGAAACTTTGGATAAGAACAAATCAACTGGAATCAATTCAGAATTAATGTGAATAGTTCTTTAAATTGTAACTTCTTTTTGACTGTATAGTCTCGTAACCGTTATACGCCCTCAGCCTGCCATTTTTGAAAAATTATTCAAAACTTTGACTTTCGTGATGGATTTTGTATAGATAAACCGCAGAAAATTGGAGAAAACTAAAAAAAACTTGCATCCACGGACTATGAAGAAGCTGCTGAAGCAAGACGTACTAGTTAATTAGGCTCAAAGCTTGTAAAACTAAAATCTGAAATTACAGCCAAAATTCTTGTAACTCGACAGCGCGAAGGATCAGCATAGCCGAGATCTACAATTTGACGAAGAACAGGGATTGATAACTTCACAGGATAATAGAGCGATAAGGTGCTTGTGCTTGTACACGAGGACAGTACTGGCGGCAAGTAGATCTAAAAATGCCAAATGTTTACCGCTTGGTGTCTATCCAGCAAGTAAGCTTAGACACGAGGCAAGTTTAAGGTGCCGCCGTGCCGGTAACGACTAGATACCGTCACGGCGGCACCTTAAAACTTGCCTCGTGTCTAAGCATACTTGCGGGATGGACACCAAGCGGCATACATTTGGCATTTTCAGATCTACTTGCCGTCAGTACTGTCCCCGTGCACAGGCACCTATAGACACGCTCTGAGAAAAGACCAGCACTACCAAATATAGCGGTCAACGAGCGTGCGCGGCGAGGATGTCGTTGTTTTTATTGAAGTTGTATTTGATGGCAGCGGGAAAGAACCGAGCAACGCAGGCCGAGACCAATGACAGCAACGCAGCTAAGAAATACAAAGAATTGTATCAACAGAACGTGGAAGAAACTGTAGCAAGAAATAAAGACCATGCGCCTTGAAGAGAAACTCCGTCAAAAAATGAGATCCCTCGAAGAGACGAAAAGGAAGAAGCGTGAGACTGAGAAGAGGAATCGGAGATACAAGATCTTTTCCGCCGAGTGAGCGCTGAGCCGGGCTAAACAAAAGGAGGCAAATTAAAAGAGAAAAAAAAAGTTACTCAAAAACGTAGTGTCGACAAGGATGTCCAGCAGGATGATTGGAGTGCTCGGCACGAGAAGCGATGGCAGCGAGCTGAAGAGAGAGACGATTTTTCAGATGATGCTTAATGGGTGCTTGAAGATAGAGGATTGGATTTCCAGCACTATGAACAACGGCGGGAACTTAAGAACAGGCAAGTATCGAAACAGGAATTATGAAAACTTGTATTCTTGAAGTCAATGTTACTATTGAATCTTCCTGCAATCAAAAGCTGGAGACAATTAAAAGATGTTGCTTAATGGAAATGCCGCATGTGTACAGGTAATCGCTTCCGCAGAATGTAAGACCCAGGGTGGTAGGTTCGGACCGAGAGTATCACGAAGGAATAGAGCGCACTCCGTCACGAAATAACCAAATTTATGTTTAGACAAATATCTCCTTAATAAGTAGCTGATAACAGACTTCTACTGATTGATAATTTCGTATTGAAAGCTTGCCTTATTGATTTCAAAATAAGTGACTATTCGGTTATTTTAGTTGCGCGACAACGTACATTAATTAATTTGAGGTGATTTCAAGGTCCACTTTAAAGTCCCCGAAATTAGTTGAACCACATATTAAATTAACTTTAGAAAAGATTAAGTTAGCGAAGGATAAGAATACGATGTTAGAACCCGCCTTTATACCAGCAACTTAATTTGCTTTAAAAAGCCCAATCAGAGGCAAAAGCAATGCAAAGGCAATACGTTTAATTGAATTTTCACCAGAGTGAGTCCGTGACCCAATGGGAGCATTGCATTGCCCTTAAATTAGTAGAGCGAGCCATAGTGCACATAAATGGATAACAAACAGGCGCCCCGTAACTTGAAATTGTAACGCAAATGTTATGTTTAACAAATTAAAGACTTTATGTTTACAGAATACGGTAAACAGAGAATTTAAATGTGCGCTCCAAGATAATATGAACATGAATTAAGAATGGAGTTAAGGACGTCTGATGGATAGGATGTGATACTGTATTTCACAGCAGCGTGAGACTACTTCGAAAGCGTCCATTTCCAAGTCCCTGGGAAAATAATTTTTCCCAAGACTCCAAAGCGCAGCTTCATTCATGTATGAGTGTAATCAACAGACATTCATGTGCGAGTGTTTCTAACAGGCATTCGTGTTTGAGTTTATGGAACAAACATTCAAATGCTGCAAGTCACTATTTATAATATTATACTTTTTTCTTGAATCTGGACCTGCGGACTGGTCTTAGTCCGGATGTTAGTCATTAGGTCCGGGTCCGGCGAAGTATGGAATACGGACTGGAGTTTAGTCAGAAGTCCAGTGGGCTATTCTAGTCTCCGAGAGAGTCAGCTGCGTTCATACGGTAAACACCTTACGATTGTGCTCTGTACCCGTGAGAGTGGCGTTCATGCAGTAAACATCAATTGATTTTGATGGCCCGCTGGGGCGACCGACTTGGCTGGCCCCAGAACTGGGTCTAGGCCCCGCCTCGCGCCATGAAGCGAGGCGGGGAGGGTCAACAACAACAACAACAACATGTGACTACCTAATGTCAGCCATGACAGGGTAATATTGACTGGCTTGGAAATTAGGTTAAAATTGCCATATATGACTCTGTAGAGTCTGAAACATGAAGAAAAAACATAAATAGTCTGTCAAACATAAAATATGTTATATGTGGTAATTTTATATTAACTTCCAAGCCAGTCTATGTTACCCTGTCAGGGCTGACATCAGGTGGTCTAAGTTACCCCATTTGGGGGCAGCGCCTCCCATTTGCAAACTATGACACTTTCCTAAAATTTGTCATTTGCATATGTAACTAGAAAAGTTCTACTACAATGCAACAAAATCTGGAGTTATTTTACCAAAAAAATAAAAAAAATTGGAGGGGGTACTCTGACAGGCTTTAAATAATAGTTTTTTTTCATGGGTCACATTTTTAATTTTTTAACCTATTAGATATGCAAACTTTTTAAATCTTTCTATTGTGTTATGTAGCCTCAGTATTAGGCCTTTAATGCCCATTGACAAAGTTTTTCTATGTCAAATAGTTTTTGAGTTTTGGGCATTTTTGTTAAAAAAACAAAAAGTGGTCTAAGTTACCCTGCCGGTCTAAGTTACCCCATTTTACGGTATTTAAAAGTCTCAAACCAAAATATTCTTTCTACACAAACAGTTTATCACTATTTGGTAGACACGTTTTTTGATGATCTCACTGGGTGACAGAGAGGGTCAGCTGCGTTCATATGGTAAACACCTTACGATTGTGCTCTGTACCCGTGAGAGTGGCGTACATGCAGTAAACATCAATTGATTTTGCTCTGAAATTAACGTATCAAAGTTTATTTGTGACTAACGTGATTATTGTGAATACTCATATTTCCGCAAACCTTTTTTTTCATTCTTAATCACACTTCTTTGTATACCGCAAGTATACTGGCTAAGCTAAGTTTGAGACTTTAAGTTTAAGAACCTGGCTGGCTTTCTCGCCCCTCCCCCCTCCTCTTCTCTCCATGAGAAGAGGTAATAGGTAGGAGAAGGCCTGCGAGCCAGCTTA